CCGAAGATGCTTTGTTTTAATAACTTTTCCAATTATGAACTGCAAACGAGGTACTGAAAAGCTCACCAAGAATGGCCTCAATATCTGTGGGGATGAAAGTTCTGTGAAACTTTCCTATTTGGCACGAAAGAAAGTTGTGAAGGGAAAAAAGTCTGTGGATTTAAATAAATACATATGATTATTTGATAAAGTTCACAACAGAAAGTTGACACGTGCACTTTTCATGCAAATGTCTTTTTAAGCACAGATAAGCTTTTGCACCTTGCAATTTATATCAACTTTACGAATTTTCGACGGATAGAAAGCTGCGGGAAAGTCACAATTGGTATTTTTCAGTAGGACAATTTGAAAATTTGCCAAATTCACCTCAAATAACCTTCTAAACTGCTCATTAAAGTGCTAATATTGCTCTATAATAATTATTTTGTAAATGTTTCAGTTGATTTTCATGGTTTTTATTGCAATTTTTCACTGAAATATGACAAATCTGATGGAAAAACTGAAAATATTGCTGCCAAAAGGCGATTTTATTCAAACAAGCCCTAATAAATCAACTTTTCTTCATGGTTTTCAAGTGATACAATTAATAGATAGGTACTCCTATAACAAATAATTTATTCATTCACAACTTAAGAATATTTTAGGGAAATCTCAGTAAAAATTTGTAGTAAAAAGAGAATTTTCTCGGAAAATATTCGGGAGATGTTGAATGTCTCCTAAACATTCTCGCAAAAACATCTAACATTCTATGGGAAACTAAGGGAAAATCTATTCCAACACACAATTGTAGTTTATAGACTTTCCACGTTATGCTTTATCGCTTGGAAATTGGCCGGAAAATCAATTGAGATTGAATACGGAATAAATTCAGTGTACTTTTTCGATAGTGTATTCACAAATAGGCAAATTATGTAAATTTGCATAGTGTGTTTTAGAGAAATTTATTCTTGCGGAATTAAACGAGCAGCAAGAGCAGAAAAAAGCAATTGATTCACTTCATATTCTGGCATACATTTCGCCAATCTGCACTCAATTGGGCGATGAGTTTCGATTAGGGCGCGGGATTGATGAATGCGAGGAGGAAATGGGACATTTTCACAATGAAATTGACAATGACCAAGCGGGAAATTTCCTCCAGAATCTATTGGAATTTTCAGGCGTGCGGGGAACACAGAAAAGGGAGGCAGGAAGAGGTGGATATTGATTGCAGAGAGTTGGGCGAAAGCTCTCGAAAGCTCGAAAATGTATATTTAATATTCATACTCTGAGCTCCATTGGTTCGCGCTGTTTTTTTTTTCGGAGTAATAATACAAGAATTTTCCTCTCATGAATTTTCACGCATGAGAAGCCTTGCTTACACTTTTCCCTCCTTCCTCCATTCACTTCTTGTTTCTCTCTCTCCACCCTCGCGCCCAAAATAGTGTGAGATGTTCGTTTAGCGTGAGAGCGAGAACGAGAGCTTTTTGCCCGTGCTGATGCTGGAGAGCTTTTCTCGAGGACGTTCTGATATCAGACGCTGGGGTGGAATTACTTCTTCATATTTTGGCCGACGAGAGCGAGCGAGCGAGCTTTCCCGGCGCTTCGTGATTAATTGCAGAGCAATTCGAGCTCTTTTCCTGTCTCTCTATCGCCACTCTTCCACTCCACTGTCCTCACACATTTTCATTAAGTGAAAAATCGTGCAGTCTCGGGACACTCGCTCGTCCTCTGGGGCTGGGGCTCTTGCGTCAGCAGGAGTGCCAAAATTGCCTCCCGAAAGTTTCATTCATTGAATTTTGCAAACATGACTCCACATCTTCAATTGTTACGCAAGAGGCGCGAGCATGCAAAATTAATACACAACGAGAAAGCGTGTGTGCTTCTAATTCACCACACACACACACTTTCCGCCCAGGAATTTTTCCATCCAACTTTTCCCGGCATTGATTGCGGAAAATTCCGCAGTGGCGGAAAAGCAATTGGCTGGCGTGGAAAGTGTGCTGTGGATAGTATTTCAGCCACGAAATGAGCAACATTTTCAGCCCTCATTCTAAACTTCTCTCCTCCTCCCACTCTTTTGTCCTTATTTATGGTGATAATGTCCCTGCCGCAGAAAGCTCTCCATGCCTGTAAACTGAATAAATACGACACAGTGCGGTGAGAATTATTAATCACTCACAATGATATTAAATTCATGGGGTTGTGAATTTGTTGTGTAGTGACGGGGAAAAATGTTTGACGGTCTATTTTTGAGTATTAAATACTGGCCAAAAATATGCTGCCAAAAATAGATGAATGGCTTCGAAGTTCCAATCATTCCAAATAGAGTTGAAATATTCATTTGCACACTTCGATGATGGACAAGAGGGAGAGAGAGAGAGAGAGAGAGGAAGTGAGGCAGCTTTGAAAAGTGATGGCAAGTGATGAATTGCCCAAGGGGGAGATAATATGCTCTTAATCTGTACACGACTTCCGAACACTTCCAGAACTTTAAATTTTTAGACTGTTTCCACATTTATTTCTAAGGTTCCGTGCAATATTTCTGTAAAAATCCACTTCAAACCGCCTTTTTGAACATCTTTTCCGACCATAACCTCAAAAATATCACTAAGAGATCATAAAAGACGACAATTGGAAGCTCTCTAGATGATAAAATTATCTTTTCAACCCAAAATTGCTGATTCAGAGGCCTAATTGTTCAGAAAGTGGTCTAAAAATAAGCATTTTCCAAGTCCACAATACTGTTTTCGAGGTTATGTTGAACTTCAACACAATTTTCAGTGTTTAGCAATGTTTATCGCATGAAAATGCTTAATTCTGCTAAAAATTAGCGATCTTGGCGACTTTAGCACAAGAATTGATGTTCTAGAATGCTAAATATTCACTAAATCCGTCCGTAATTCGTTACATAACCTAGAAAAAATGGTTTCTTTGCACAATTCAAAAGGAATTCAGACAATCTAGATTATTTGACAGTAAAATCAGGATTCAGGGAAGGAAGATTATCAGTTTTTAAACACTTCCACTTCTTAAGTATTGAAGTATTGAATTATACACTAAATCTTTCCGTGTTTCGAAACATAACCTAGAAAAAAGATTTTTATGATTGATTTTGCGTCAAAATCGAAGAAAATCCGTAGAATTGGCATCATTTGTCAGTAAAATAAACACTCAGAAGAGAAATTTTGTATGTTTTTGAACACTTCCACTTCTTAAGTACTTGTGCTGATCTGTACACCACTTCTGACTGTATTCTCTCCTCCTTGGAATTGCCCATGATAAAAAAAATCCATCAATTCATTTCCGCATGGCGGAAAAGGGAAGTTTTGTCCCTTAATTAAAAGTTGGTGATTGCATTTTTTCGCCATATTTGCGCGCAAATCAAGAGAATCTCCATCTTATCTCACTTTGGCGCTTTTCAATCGCCCCCAGAACCGCTTAATGATTCATGAAATGATCCCCCAACCAGTCATTTGGCCCTGCGAAAGCACTGATAGAGATGGCCTTCCAGTTCAAGAGCGTCGCCCAGTGAGAGTAAACTTGTGCAAAATTATTTGGAGTATTCGTTTGGGGGGGAAAAGCACGGAGATATTTGGCCTGAACTTTGGGGAGAAACTCTTGAAGAATGAGAAGGAGAGTCAACACTGCTGCTCCAGTTTATATTGACTTTCGGGCGAATTGTCGCTCCGACAGTCCATTCACGTTCCATTCGGGGAAACTCTTGCATCCCGCCCTGGGAAAACCTTGTGTGGATTTTATCCATAAACTTGCATAAGGAAGTCGTGCGCGAATTGAGGCGATTTTGGTCCACCAATTCACTGTCGATCATTCGGGAAATTGACCACACTGATGATATATATGTTGTCGTGATAAGTAGCGCCGAGTGGGCAATTGACCTGGGGATTTTTTACCCATTTGACCCATCATAGTTCACTCGCGAGTGCTATTATCTAATCGAAAATGGTTCGCAATGCGTGAGTGCTTGGCAGAGTTTCTAGATAATTAAGATATTGAAGTGGCAATGCGGGTCAATCTAGATGCGAAGAACAACACTAATATTCACCCAGTATATATTGATAATGGATTTATCCATTGGCTTGGGGAAGAGGAATTCTGGGAAAAACATCATTTTGTGCACCTGGATTTTCTCACAGATTCCTTGCAGCTCGTCTGGGGCTGCAGAATCCTGAATTTCCAGGAAAATTGATTACTCTTCAGTCAGTAATTTCTCTTGAAGAATACACACAAAGTTGCACATCATAATGATGTGTTTGCATAATAATATTTGTTGGGTGCAAAGTGAGTTGAGTGCATTATAAAGTGTGTTAATACTGTTCTGAATGATTTTGCATCCATTTGAGGAACATCTGCAAATATTGCAGTGTCACAATTTTGCCAAGGAGGAGATATTTCGCTCCAAAGTTGTCTACAACTCAGCAAAAATGCTTTATTGGAGTAATTTTCAGTGAATTCACACAGACATTTCGTCTGAAAATCCTACAAAACCCTTCAAAAGCCGCGGCAAAATAAGAACAAATTTATCATTGATTTACTGACTGGAGAAAATCATTTGTTCTCAGACTTTAAAACGCTTGGAGAACTTCTTAATCTTCTTCCGAGAAGAGTTTGAATTTTGGCGTTATTATCCTGGCAATTAACTTCAAATTAACTGAAATCTGACTAAAATCTAACTGATGAACTTTCTAGCTCAAAAGCGCAGCTTTTAAGTACAAAAATGAGAGGTTATGTTTGATTTTGTCCTGTTTTTTACTATTTACTTTTCAGAATTGCCATTTTCAGGAAATTTATACACGCAATTCTACTAGTAAATGAAATGTTTTCGTTTTCTGTGCAAGAATTTTCACTTCGTAATGTTATTTTGTCATAAAACTCAGTCACAAAACCTAGAAAAATATGTGAAGATGATCAAAATGGAGCGAAATAATCAGTAGAAATTCAAAATAATAATTGAACTTCCATTTCCACACACTTCTGCTGAGCTGCATATCATTTCTGACCATAATATCTCCTCCTTTGGTGAAGATTATGTGCATTCTTCCATGCGGAGCACATGCAATGTGTGTGAAATCAGCTGTCAATACAGGCTTACAAAAACCACTAAAGCCTGAATGGATTTCCCGGGGATTTTCCAGAGAGCTCTCTGCAGAAAGCCTTCCTGGAAGAGTGTTGATGTGTTGCTGAAAAAATTCCGGGAATTCCTCTGTGAAATTCACAGCATATCAACATTCAACACACAAGCGCGCGCAAGCATTGAGCAATATAAATCATTATGCTGACATGCTTTCGTGCGATAGAATCGCATTGAGATGCACACGATAAAATTGTGCTGGTGTCATCAATGGGGGCAATCTTGGACTCTTCATCCCATGATGAACCGCTTCAAACTGACGGAGAGAAAATTCATCTCTGTGCACACGATGATTTTGGCATTGAACTTGATGACTGATATGTGCTCTCTCTCTGTTCTCTCCTTGGCCAGAATGATGGTGACGAAAATTTGGAACAGTTGCTTTCCGGATTCAGATCCTGCCCAGGAATCCGAGCAAGTGCACCGACACAATTTCTACCTGTGCCAGGTAAGTGGCTTTAGCATTTAGCCTTGTGCACTTAATCCCAAATGCAAGATCTCTGGAGCTCACATTAACTATGCGGCCGTTGAATGTGAATTGGAAAGCAGCCGAACTCACAGCAAAATTTTGCCAACTTTCCGGCACAAAAGCTCCGTGTGTGGGGGCAAAAAAAAAAGCTCATGACAAGTTATTCACAAACATAAATTTGCTTCAACTTCCTCTCAACATAATTTACAACAACTTTTCCCACGTGAAGCTTTTCATCTAAATTGCACCTCATTCAACGTGAAAATGTTCCGGTGTTTTTCCTCCTGCCATTTTTGGTGCACTGGGGAGAAAATTTGGGTGCCAAATTGAGTGTTGGGTGGAAAAAAAAAATACCCAATTAATTTCCCACGTGATTTATCGGATGATTTTATTCAATGAATAATTTCCCCGCCAAAATACCGTATGGCGCGAATGCAACTCTCGGTGTGTCTCTGATTTATTAGCAGCTTTAATTGCAAGTTGTGTTGTGATAAAAAGAGATAAATGCCCAAAATTGAGCCTCTTTATGCCGAGCCAAGTTAAATGCTGGATTTATCATTAATGTAGCATTTAACAATATTCAGCTTTATTTTAGTCCATGGCGTTGATACCGGGACACACGCGCCTAAACTGAAATCGAATCATGTCGAAACGCGACGCGCAGTCACGAATTACGTTCAGTGAGGATGTGTGTGAGAATTTGACAGCGCACACGCATGCGCCACCGCGCAGTTTGAGCCAACTTTTAAGTCCATGTCGGACTGGCTTTAATATAAATGCTGCATTTATATTAAAGCCGGCACGGCATAAAGAGGCTCATTGTCTCTGTGGCGGCTTTAACTGGCGCATTTGTCACTCGTCGATTTATTATGGATGGATTGCGCGCGTTTATTCAGTGCGAAATGAGAGCTTTTTGCCATTAACAACTTGAAAAAGAGTGGCGCAAAGCTCGCACTTGAGTTTACAAGGCGATTTTTGAGGAAACTTAGTGTTCTACAATCAAATAATCAATTATTTGAGTAAAATAATCAAAAAGTGATTATTCATAATCAAAAAAGGATTATTTTCCCAGCTAAAATTGAAAAATAATTGAAAAAAATTATTATTTTCTGAAATAAAATTACAAAAAATCAAAATAACCAAATTTTGAATTAAATAATAATAAGAAAGAATATTTTCTCAAGTAGATTTAAAAAAAATAATCATATTTGGAATAAAATAATCAAAAAATTAATTTTTTTTTCTAAATAAAAATTGCAAAATAATCAAATTTTGAATGAAATATTAAAAAAAATTAGTATTTCCCAAAGTAAAATTGAGAAAAAAATCAAATTCTAAATAAAATATCAAAAAATATATTTTTTGCCAAAGTAAAATAACAAAAAAAAATCCAAATAATAAAAATCCGAATTAAATAATTAATAAAATGAATTTTTTCTCAAGTAGAATTGAAAAATAATCAAAATTTGAATTAAAATCAGAAAAAATAATCAGAATTTGTGTGAAATAATCAAATTTTAATCAAATATTCAGAAAATAATCAAAAAATAATCAGAATTTTGTAGGAAATAATCAAAATTTGAGTAATAATCACAAATAATCGAAAAAAGATTGAATAATCACAAAGAGAGAACACTTTCTTATTGTGTGCATTTTTAATGAGAAAGAGCAGCGACATTAGCCGTGTGAGAATCTCTAAAAGGCCAATTCATCATCCTCTTGAGCGGCATTTTGATATTAATTTACAATATGGAGAGCATCTAAGGCAAATTACAATGGCTCTTTAGCTTAAACGTATCTGCAATCTAAGTTCTTTGTTCGCTACATTTCTATAGAAGTCGCCCTTTCACCTCAGACGCTATCCATCACTTGTAGAATTATCTCAATTAAATCCTCTTCTTGGCCATGCTCCACTCCACATTACACTAATTAACAGATATTGGTCAGTCAAGGGACTCAATGTGGGCTGCATTGTCACGTACACAATATATATGTGCGGCCGAGGCTGTGACAAATGAAGCTCACACAGTGCATTGTGTGGTGTTTCTTCCAGTGGCAGCGCAGCAAGCAGGTGAAGATCATCTATCTGCTGTACAGGTGGCTGGCGGCCATCCTGTTCCTGGCCGTGCTCAGCTGCTCCCTCCTGGACATCGGCCGGTCCGACACTGAGCACTACGAGAACCACTACGCCAAGTGGTGGATCTACCTGACGCACTGGGGCCTGCTGGCCTGCACCCTGCAGGCCTGGCTGGCGGCCTGGATAGTCACCCAGGGAATGATGGTGGACAGAGATGACTTCGGTGAGTCCCACTCTTGCCCTCAGTCTTGAAAACCGCCATGGTTACTCTAGTAATGCTTCCATTTCAACAAAGTGAGGTTATGTAGTTGAATTGAAACAGATTTTGACGATGAAATATCCATCAAAATCGTCAAATTTGTCCTCAAACTGAGCATTTGTGGCAAAAACCATCAAATTGGTGAAAATTCAGTCAGAAAAACCCTTAAGAATCAAACATAACCTCAAAATTTAAGCAAATTGTGGCAAATTGAAGCTCATTATCCTGTTGAAACATTGTAATATTCGCTATATTGGCTCCTTTTCCAGGTTTGACAGTTATTTCTGTTCAAAATAACTTCATATTGGTTGAGAAAAAAGCTTTAAAATCAATCATAACCTCAAAAAATATCATTTTAGTGTTGAAGAATGTTTCTTTGCTTAGGTTTTATCTGCGATTCGTGCTTTCAAATGGCAAAATCAGCCTCAATTTTAAGTAGAATTCATAACCTCACAATTTAGTCAGAAGTTTCCTAAGCATTTTCTAGACAAGAATTGTATATGAACAAATCCTGGGCAATTAGGATCATTTCTTACAATGTGAAATCTAAGTATTTGAAGAAATCTAGTTTAGATTGCAATAAAAGTTAGAAATGAATATAAGAAATAGTCGAAAGAGTCTGAAAAAACGATGGAAAATGCATTTAAAGACGTTCAGAAGTGTCTGAAGTGGTAAAGATTCTGCACAGACGCTGCTCAAATCACATTTTTAACTATTTAAATCGGTCTGTGTCTGAGTCTAGTTTAACTCCGGTCCTTTTGCCTTGCAGAAATCCAACGACAGGCGAAAACCAGTCGCCTGCACAGGCTCTACTGGGTTCTCTATACCATCGCGACGGTGTATTCCTTCATCATCACCATCTGCTACTGGACGATTGTCCACAATCCAGGTAAAATTGCGCCTCATTGGGCGCCAATCGATTGGCGGGAGAGTCCAAAAATTCCCGCTCCCGGGAAACTAAATTATTGAAATGTCTCTGTTTTGCAGAAATCAATAAATTGGATGCCGTCAATCTTATGGTGCACGTCCTCAACTCCGTGCTGATGCTCATTGATCTGGCAATTGTGGGCCAGCCGATTCGCCTCTCGCACGCGTATTGGACAACGGGAATTGGTGTTATCTATGCTATTTTCACTGGCATTTACTTCCTGGCCGGCGGGACAAACAGGTGCGGACAATTCATGGGTCAATTCGTGCGGAATCACTTTGCACTCTCTGTGCCATTGCGTGTGATGTTATTAATGATGAACTGGAGAATTTCCACTCCAATTTCCATTAATATTCGCCAATTGGTCACTGTGGAGTTGCTGTTTTAATTGGGCCTTGTTTTGTTGCTTCAAGAGATGTTTTCATTTGTGGGTGCGACGTCAAGGGGGAGATATTGCAGTGGGAAATGCAAGAAGTCTTGCAAAATGGAAGACTTTTCTGGATAATGAAATCAAATCTGACTGGAAATTGAGAAGAAATTTGGAGCTCACTAGAATGATCTCGTAAAATGTTATTTTTCACCATCATAAGTTAATTCAACCACCGCAAGAGGCGCTAAACTCAAAAATACGATTTTCAAAACTTTAAAATTAAATATCTCAAAAACTAGACTGTGAATTTTCTTTAAATTTTAGTATGTTGTAGCTGAAGTCGAGACCTTTCCAACAAACCCCCATTCATGGGGATTGAAATCATAGGAGGGGAGATATGGAGGTTCAAAGTTTACACATTTACCCACCGTTATCTCCGCTGTTTATCAACCGATTTTGATCATCTCTTCACCAAAAGACGTGTTTTAGCGCCTTTAAGTAGACTGCACTCACAAAGAGTCTGTGGCGTCTTAACGAATGCCGCCATTTTGAAAAATAAAACTTTGAACGCCTGTATCTCGACACCTAGACTGTGTATTTTGATAAGATTTTAGTATGTTGAAGTCCAAGTCAGAACGTTTCTAAAAATAGGATATAATTTATTATTGAAATAATAGAACCGGAGTTATGGCGGTTTAAAGTTTTAATTCTGTATGTATTATTAATTTCTGTTATATTTATCCGATTTTAATAATTTTGAAGCAACACTATCTCCCCCTTGAGGGGCGTAATTGCGGGATTTTGAGCAATCTGGTGACTCTCTGTCTTTCGCCAGGAGGAACGACGTGAGCATCTACCCGCTGCTGGACTGGAGTCGTCCTGGCAAGGCGATCGTGATAAGCGCTTGCGGAATTCTGTTCGTCTTCATCGTCCACTTGGTGGTGTTCTGCATGTATCGCCTGCGTGTCTGTCTGTACACGAAAGTGTGCATCTGGAGTCGGAATCGGCGGATGAAGAAGATGAGCACGCTGGGCAGGACTCTGTCGTCGCTGGAGGATGCCCAGAAGGAGAACTTCTTGGGTCCCAGCACGATAATTGACGTGAAGATGTAATAGAATTCTCTTACTTCTCTCCATTGAATCTCTTATCCATTCAATTCGAATTGCAAAAAAAACAAGATGTTCTATTGTATTTCCTTAATTGTTGGGTGACAGAGAAATCAAAAGAAAAAAAAAAACAACCCAAATTTCATGAGATTAAGATTGAAATGTGTCAAGGTGTTATTTATCGTTTCTTGGAGAGCGCACTGAAGGAAAAGTAAACTTTAGGGAATGTGTGTGTGCGTGTGTTTTGGCATCAAAGTTTGACGGGAAAAATTGTAAACTGATTTAGCAAACAGACTGCAAAGATTTAGAAGAATGTGTAGAAAAAAAAAGGTGTTATATTTGTCATAAAATGGAGATTTTTCTTCGCTCAAACACTGCAACATTCGCTAGACTGTATTAGAAATTTTATTGATTATCGCAATTAACGAAAAAAAAAATTCCTTTGCTCATGGATATTAATTGCCATTGATTGTATTAAGTTTTGAAAAAGACAGAGAAATTATACATACATAAATATATATTTTCCTATATAGCAAATTTGTGGGACATATAAAATCCCCAAGAGAGCAATTTTAGTTCCTTTTATTTCATAACTAGAAGTGTAAGATTTGTGTTTTTATACTTAGTTCTTAGCATTCGCATAAAAATACTCCAGTTTAAAGTGGGAATTGGAGGACTTTTGTGTGGAGATTTTTCACACACAGCCTTCGCCACTAATTATTCAAGGAACAGGCGCCCATTCAGGATCTCTGATCTCTCTCAAAAGAGCTCAAAAATATACACCCAAAGCTTTGAGAGGATTACTCAAATCCAGATGGTATTTTCGCCCTCTCGCGATGCCAGCCAGGATTTGCCAAGGATTACCAGAGTCATCATATTTTATGAAAAAGTCTCCTCACATGTTTCACCCAGACATTTGAATACTTTCCCGCTCTATTTTCCTTCCCCCCCAAATTTTATTTCTTCGGGGCGGCGAAAGGAGAAAAATTGTCTATAGATTGTACCCAGTAAAGACAATCCGCAGTCCATCGATTTATCCATCGATTATCCATCGTTTTTTCCATTCTGCTGCCATGGAGCATAACAGATGCACCACAGGATTCCCACGAGAGTCCCTAAGGCTAAAACCCTTATCCCAAAAGGCTGGGAAAACAAAAATCCAGCGGTTTCAGGGTTTCTGCACAGTCGTTGTGGGTCCTTTTCATTCTTGAAGGATTTTCAATGGACTTTCCTGTGGGATTTCTACAGGAAAGTTCACTGAAAATCCGTCGTTTTGAGGTCCCTTTCGTCCTTGAGGGAACTTTAACGGATATTCCTGTGGGATTCCCGCAAAAAATCCACTGAAAATCAATTGAAAAGAGGCCTAAGAGGTTTCTTTTACGGGCTTAAGAGGTGTGGAAGAACCATTGACTTCCCTGCAGGAATCCTCATGAAAAATACGGCGGATAACCGCGGACAGAATCCATACAAATTCGTGTATAAAATCTGTAGGAATCCCACGGGGTTTTTCTGCAAAAGTCCACTGAACAATAAGCGACCGATCGGTGGGAATTCCGCGGTTTTCCATTGTGGCTGTTTTTACTGGGTAATGTTTTTTGCTCTATATATTTATTCTTTGATTGGGAGTTTGTCGATAAAAGAGGGTGGAAAAGAAAGATAGTTGAAGTTGAATTGACAAAAAAAAAAAAATTCTTAGACACAGACGAGGAGGAAGAAAATAAACTGTATAAAAACATTAAATGAAGAAATTTTTAAGGAAATATAACATTTGGTAAAAAAAACAAGATTAATTATAAATTCTAACGCATGAATAACAAAGTAATAAATTGTGGTGCCATGAACTCCTTTTAGCTAGTTGGGCATCAAGAGACAAAGTATTCGATAGATTGATGATGATTGTAGAATTGCATAATATTTAAAAGAGATATTTTTGGATGAACAGAAGTGTAAATTAAAATTAATAACGCGATTATGTGATAGTTTGGAAGGCAGATTTATTCGAAATATATATTAAATAATAAATATTGATAGGTTTATTTTGACAAATTAGGCGATAATCGAGATGTGAAGATGATGAAGAAAAAGCAAAAAATTACCCAGACATTCCGGAAGGATTTCTTGTGCGGAGAGGAAAAGTGAGAGTTGTGATTGAGATGCAAACGAAAAAAAGCAATTATACTAAAGCATTCCAGTGGAAATTGATTTTTTCCCGATACAAACACACCAAATTGACCATAATTTGAGCTCCACACTGTGGATGAGCAATCACGGTCGTTTCTGTGCGCAGAAGAATGGCAGAAGGAGTGGTTTTGTGGTTTCCCTCCAGAAACATCTCAATTTGAGAGGAGTTGTGCTGTTACCTCTTGATTTTCTTGGACGCATTAAAACATATCGGAGAGTCGAGTTAATAATGTACAGCAATTTATTTTTATTATCTCTGTACATAGAGAGAGAGACAGAGAGAGAGAGAGAGAGGGTTAAGTGTGAGGGGTGAAGACGAGAGAGAGAGAGAGAGGAGGAAAAGTGCTAAAATTGATGGCGATATTAATTAAACATTTGGGAATGATGAAGCCTTAGTGTTCATGCAGAGATGAGAGAACAGAATAACAGATGAATTTGTGTGAGAGGGAGAAAAAAAAACATAATTATTTTAGCAAATACCGTAGATTTCATGGCATATGGAATGTTGAGGTAGCAAAAAAAACAGAGGTATATTTTGTAATAATCACAAGAAACTTCAATTGTGGACTCTCTTGATGGATGCCGAGGGCATTGAATTTGGACATTGAGATGGAAGCTAAGACGCTGTACTGATTGAGAATCGATAATTTTGAGATGTAAAGTTACTGAGTTAATTAGTGTATAAATAATAAAAATGATCCCACAACTGAATTTACATTTTGCATTTTGGCACGTCAAAGTCTCTCGATGACCTCATTTTCTGGGCCCATGACAAAACTCTGCCCCAACAAATGAACCCTTCCGCCAATTTTCATCGATTAATTTCCAGCGGTCAGCCGAGGGGTTGCGAATATTGGGGATGCAGTGTCGCTTTTGGCTCGAGATGCAAATTCTTCACGAATTTATTTCGTGTAAAGAACAATTTTGCGATTATTCTCGATAAGGAAAACTGATTTTTTATCTTGTTACCTCTTCAAAATTTATTTATAAAATAATTGTGCACAATTTTTAAAGAGTAAAATGTGAGTTTCTTAGCTGAAAAGCTTGCAAACATCAATGAATTGACAATATTACTTTAATAATTGATCTTTAAACGAATATTTACGGTTTTACGCAAGGTTTTACGATTGCACCTAAGAGAATCTTTAATAATGCTGCCGAAAATCTGTAGTCGAGAAGAGAGAAAAACCGTAAAGTGTTCTTTTATCGTTCAATATTGTTCCTAAACTTAACCTCAAATTCCTTTTTCTTACTCACAAAATCCAAGTTTTCTGCTTAAAATCTATCTTCAGACAATTTAATAATTTGAAATCTAAAATATGTATTTTTCACCTTCATTTTTCACTCTTTTTCTCTAAATACGGAACAGAATTCTCGACTTTGGGATCAATTCTCGATCAAACACAGACATGTTATCCTTAAAACATGTCAAAGTTTAACATTCTAGATGAATAAGGAAAAACTACCCTTGATATTCTCACTAAAACAGTGTTTTAGAGTTTTAAGCGATTCCACAATGTGTAAGAGAGGAAAAATTGTGAAATTTACCTAAATTATTAAAATTCAAGTAAATGTTTAGTAAATCTACGATATAAAGAATTTATTGCAGATATCTTTCATGTTTATGCCTGAAAATGACAGTCTCAATGGCAGATTGATCAATTTTTGTAAGATATTTGCAGATTTGAAGTTTCCGATCTGTTATTCTGCTTTTTACACAACTTCAGCAGGTTGTGTTATTATTAAAGCATTCAAACAGTACAAAGTCGTTTAACACATGTGAGCCAGAATAGCAAAGGCATGTTTTAAATCAATATAACACATTTTTAACATTTCTTGTGTGACTGAGAATTGCTCCATTTATCTAATTCTGAGAATCATTCAAAAGCCATATTAGCAACCCTTCAGTGGTCAGCATTCAACCTACGGCTATTTACCGATGCCACAAGCGAGGTTAAGCCTAATTCACTTTCACGGTAATTACTAATTGATAGGAAATTCACTCTGGCTGTGATGTTTGAAACTATAAATTCCATCTCAACTCTTCTTAGTTCAGCGACAGAGTTTTTTTGGCAGAAAAATCTGACGATCAATGTCAATTTGGAAGCCAAACGCCAGTGCATTTAATTGGGATGCATTCTGCGTGTGGTTCAATTGTTATGCAACTTGTATACACTTTCACCGGCACAATTTAATGCCTTTCTGTGGCAACTTCTGTGCGTCTCTCTGTCAGTGACTTGGACAACATCTAAAGTGTGTCGAGATTTCTGCACAAGCGTTACATCATTAGATACACGACACTTTTTTCGTCGTCTAGTCAACATGGTCAAATATTTGCCTCAGCTGGTCTTTCTTTCCAGCTTCCTTTTCATCTCGTCGTCGCCGAATTGTTGGCCAAGGAGGTGGAGATGAAGTGAAATGTCTTGAGCAAATATTAATTTGGTCCGTCCTTGATACAACATTGGACTTGAAAATTTCGTCGCGCAGTTCCTCTTTGACTTCGTTGTGTTTTTTCTCTCTGTGTGTTCGAATTACTGCTGAAAAAGGGCTTTTTTTGCACAGTCACACTCGATTGGACACTGTTAAAGTGTGCATTTTGCGCAATAAGTGTTGGGAAATTCACTCATCAATGCATTATTTATCCAGTGAAAATTACCACTGTCTTCACCATCATCCAAGACAGCATAATTTTCACATAAAACCAAGCTGAAAACACACACGAATCAACTGCTTGCATCGTTTGTTCAGGTGTTTACGAATTTGTCAAAAATATTGTCACTCAGTCAATAAATGTTTGGCATATAAAATGCGATGAAGATTAATGGAGAAGTCCAAACATATGCAGAGAGTATTATGTATTTGAGGGAATTTTCAAGGAAGGTCATCGAACAAGACTTGAGTCAAAGGGGGAGATAATACAGTCAGAAGTGGTGTACAGTTCTCGACAACAACTCCATAAAAAACACAAAAAATTCACGTAAAATAGCTAAAAAGTCGAGATATTGGCCTTTTTTCTCTTTTGTTTTAACATCTAAGCATTATCATCATCTAAATAAGTGCGTAGACAGCAAAATATACCTTCTTTCAATTTTTTAGCGGGTGCGCGTAGCATAAAAAAGCAAAACTTGTCGAGGAAAAACCTCGTTTTTCCGGCAGATAGAGAAGAAATATTACTTCGGCATGTATGGGGGAAATGCATCCCCTGAAGTGCTCTACACATAGGAAAAATAATCCAACATAAAAGTTTCTTCGTTTCGGAGATATTTAGAAAAAAGTGGTAAAAAAACCGGCGAATTTTTTACCTAGTGATTCACAAAAGATCATTTTTGACAAACAAGGAGTGATCTTAAACACTCACAATGTTTTACAAAGTAGTAGGTAATTTCAATAGCTATCGTTTGAGCCTAATTTGAGGAAAATCCGTGGAAAATTGGGCGAGATATGAGCACATAAGTGCGGCAAAGTGGGTGAAAATAGTGGAAAATGGAAAATAGGCTCTAAAAGGAAAACTTGAGGGTCTACGGAAAAAAGGAAGGTACCGTTGAAAAGCTGATGACTCAAGGAATCAGAAAATCCACACTTCAAAAAAAAGGGCAGAAAAGTGTTGCACAGTGTTATTCACCGAATCACGGACAGATTTAGTGAATATTTCGCATTCTAGCACAACAATTCTTATGCTAAAGTCGCAAAAACTGCTAATACTTGATCGAATTAGACATTTTCATACGATAATCATTGTTATTCTGAACATTTGATGCCAAAGAATATTAAAAATTGTATTGAAGTCGAACATAACCTCAAAAATAGTCATTTGAACTTGGAAAATGCTTATTTAGGCAACTTTCTGCATGATTTTGACTCTGAAACAGAGTCAAAAGATGATTTTTTCATCTAGAAAGCTTTCAATTGGAATCTTTTAAGATCTCTTAGTAATATTTTTGAGGTTATGGTCAGAAAAGACGCTCAAAAAGGCGGGTTTAAATTGGATTTTTACAGAAATATCGCATGAAATCTTAAGATATTTATCATAATTTGCAAATAATTGTGGAAAGAGTTAAAAAAAATTTGTAGTGCTTGAAGTGTTATGAAGTGATGTACAGATTAAGAGCATATTATCTCCCCCTTGGACTTGAGTCTTGACTTGAGTGAATGAAAGCAGCTATTTGCCTCCTTTTGTGTTGTTATCAAGTCAAGATTTTCACGCGCTTTTTCAAAGTCACTCCACGCCGAGTGGCTCTCAATGCTCGCGAGGCAAAGATCAATCACCCGCGCGCCGTTCGAATTTATCAGCTGAAATTCCACCAATAACACCTAATATATCAGCCATGCTTCTTATCGCGGGGAAATCGTCGAAGCAATTTTGCGCAAGGAAACAACAATCACAAGTCAATTTATGCGCAATTGTTGGCTTTTCTCCCCTTTCATTTTCACCTAATCTCAATTCATTTTCTCCCCAGACTGCGAAAAAGCCGCGGAAGAGTTGCAAATTGCACACATTTTCCCACCTGCAAGAGCAGATGTTCCGCGGTTTGTGCAGAGGAAGGCGAGGCGAATTATGCCATTAGTTCCCTTATCGGCGGTAATTATCTCTGCGCTGTGCTTCAGTCAAAATAAACAGAGTATAAAAGTGATCCGCTCAATTTGCTCTTTCGGACCAGTCGCAATGTTGCTTGTTTTATAATTGTGAGATAGATAAATTTTACATTGCTTCAGTTTTTTTATATATCAAACTTACTCTGAACACTGAAGAAATACCGCACGAAAAAAGAGAGATAGAACGATAGCAAAACGATTGAGACTCTCTATAGAGAAGAGTGGGGCAGTTTTGGTTACATTTAGCTTTGGCACTTTCACAGCGTCTGAGCAGAATCTTAAGATACTTTTAAACACCTTTTTTCAAGTCTTTTTTACAGGCATTTTCCATGGTTTTTTGGAATCATTTCGTTTAAGCTCTTAAACTGATTTTAGTGTCTCAGGATTTGTTTGATTTATCTGCAGAAAATGTTCAGAAAACTTCTGAGCAAATTGTGAGGTTATGAATTAAGGTAAAACATTCTTTATAACCTAGAAATTTGTAAGTAATTGAGGCTAAATTTGCCACTTTAAAGCACAAACAGCGGAAATAACTAAGCAAATAATCAATTTTCTGGACTGAACTGACATTTTTGAGGTTATGATTGACTTTTAAGCTGTTTTCTACTGTAATTTGTTCAATCTGATCTTTTTTGCCAACAAAAAGAGCATTATTCCCAGATTAAACACAAATTTGATGATTTTGAGAGTATTTTGATAGTCAAAATTTGTCATAAATCAATAACATAACCTAGAAAAACAATAAAATTGATTTTTCAAGTGCAAAATGACATAGAAAATGCATAATTTTCTCACAAAAGATGCTTTTGAAGTGTAAATATTTCATAAGAGTAGTCTTTCAACGGTTTCGTCCAACTTGAGTGCTTTATTTAGCCTGACTCTTGAAGTTCCAAACACTATAAGAGATTGGCTATATGTAATCAACTCCCTTTTGCCGCTCCATCACGATACGATTGACTGACTCGGGTGTTTCTCCACGTTACCGTCAAATAATGCTAACAGCGAGATTCTCATCAGAAGGAGAAGGTCGCCATGACAGTGTCATTCTCGCCACAAGCTCTCCAAGGATATCAATTAGGGAGCTTTTAGATTTAGAAAATTTAATTGTGCTGTGATTTTATTTTAACTGCTCAGCTGTCCCCTAATCCAGAATCTGATAAAGTTGAAACAACAATTTCAATTTTTTCTAGTGTAGCAGCAGAGAAAAAAACCGCAAATTAAAGTCATATTTGGTTCAATGCTACTGGAAAAATATTGTACAAATTTGTATTTACCCTGGATTTCATACGCGAACTTGCCAAAATACGTTTCGTCACACTGCGAAGCACTTCTCGATGACTTCTCGCAAATGTTATCAGTGCCATGCGGGAAAACTGGCGATATTTCGGCCACAGAGACGCGTCATGGGCGCCTCAGGTGGGGCAGAAACACCTGAATTGTGTGTGTGTGAACCCCACGCGGTTTTACGGCTTCAGTCTGACTTCGCTGTTCGCCCGAGAAAGACCCGCGCAATCGCGAGTGTTGCGCTGCCCATCGAGTGCTTGCCTTCTGAGTGATTCCCTAATCAGGAAAGGTGATCTTATAGCGTGTCTTATCGTGACTTCAAAGCGCCCTCCATTGGCGGTGATCTCATGGAAAGTGAAAAGTGTGTTTCCTGTGCATAAGCGCGCATTAGAGAGAGAAGAAGAAAAAAGATCGACAATGATTGATTATTGCGCCTTTGTTGGATAATTTGTGCCTTTTAATCTCACGTGAAGATTTTTGGTGGAGGAAAAATTAATTGCAAAAGTGCGCGATCTTCGTGATCTCGACCATCTCACCTGGCGCTCTCTCACGTGTATTTGTAAATCATGTTGCCACCATAATTGCAATGAAATGGAATAAGACGTTATGCAACTCACGTGCCTTTCTAGTGTATCTAAAAGGCATTTGTCTTTCGATTCACACACCTTTTGGCTGGTATTTTTTCACTCCTTCGGCGCGCTTTTTTTCTCCAGCTGAACATGAAAAGAAGTATTATTATTATTGTTTTTCCACGCAAATGAAAGGCTTCTTCACACGAATCTCTGTTTTTCTTTCATGTCACACTTTTTGTCCCTCTCTTTGCACTCTTGCAATTGCATTCGATGCAAAACAAGTTGAAAAACCCCATCAAAACCTTTTCCCACGTCACTTCTCAGTGTGTCCACAAAAAGCCAGCAATCTTCTTGCGATTAGTGCAGTTTCTGTTCACAAAAACAGGTTCGAATTGAAATCTCGTCTGCCCAGAGATTAAATCCTGAACGGATTGCAAAATTCACATTCGCTCAAGTGAGACGTTTGACCAGTAAATTCTGCGAATAACCGTTTGTTCTGTTGGTCAATATTATATTAATGCAAATATTTACATATTTCTTACACGTTCGTTTCCTCACTTTGATGTCTTCCTTCTCACATTTGCCTCAATCGACAAATTATTCCATCGCACAAGTAAATGGCTTTCAATTGTAAAATTGAATTATCAAAAAATGTGTGAGCAGAATTTTGTATACTTCAAAAATTGTCAAGAAATGACAATTGTTAATCGGATATTTACGATTTTACACAAGTTTAAGATTGGGAAAATCTCCTAATTTTTGCACAAGCACGAAAGAAATCACGCAAAATGTCCTTTAATCGTTCAATATTCCTCTTAAATTTCACTTTAAATTTCTTTTTCTACCCACAAAATACATTTTTATCACAAAATATTCTAATTTCTGTGTTTTTATTAATTCCCTTTCTAAGTTTTCTCCCTAAAATGTTGGATTTATGGCGCCAAAAAGGGAAAAAATCAATAATATTTTGGTTTAGAAAATAATGAGAAGAATTTTATAGTAAAAATTTGTCAAGAAGAGACAATATTTAATCGGATATTTACGGTTTTACGCAAGTTTTTACGATAAAAACGAGGGTGAAACTGAAAAAAACCAATATTCTTCTTTTTTTGCTTCTGTTTTTAAACATTCCTTTTTCAAATCTTCTCCTTGAAAAGTGTGAGAAGGAATTATTATAGTTTTCCTATTGCTTATCAATTGTGAAGAAAAGACAAGATTATCTGGCAAAACACTTCGCATTTACATGGTTTAACCATAAAATTAAGTGTAAAATAACTTTTAATTTGTCGTCATTCCAGAAATTGCCAGATAAAACCCACTTGCAAAGCGTGATGTGATAAAAAGCTTTAAGTATTTGACAAGTGCTTCGTTGAGGTTTAATCATCATTACAGTGACGACAAGAAATTACCATTTTGCTAGTGTTTTCATCGACACTTGCGTCACTCTTTGAACAATTCAACAGAAAAGTGCGATCATCCGATAAAAAAGCTCAAAGCTTTGGCGAATTCATTGCTGCAAATTAACCACGACAAATTGATTGTTGACGGCGTCAGACGCTAAATTTGTCCAACTAAAACACGCGCTTTTTGTCCATCAATTCACATAATCGTCAAATATGTTCCGAACACTTTTTTCCACTCTGCTTTTCTGCCACATTTCTCACGAAAACTTCACCATTCAAGCTATCAACAGACGTGAGATAATTGCACTCTCAACCTTGGTCGATATTTACATTTATGCACTCTTAATAAATCTTTCCTCTGAACGCGCAAAGTTCAATTCCAAGCACAAATTCAGGGAATAGACTTGATCTTTTACCTATCTTTTACTGCTTCGCACTTCTGTGGAAGCCAAGGGGGAGATAATAAGCCTTAAATATGTACACCACTTCCAAATGTCCCAAATTATTATGAATCTCTTGAGGTTTCATTCGATATTTCTATAAAAATTGACCTAAAATCGCTGTTTTCGACATCTTTTCTGCTCATAACCTCAAAAATATCACTAAGAAAGCTTCAAAAACTCCATTCGAAAGCTTTCCAGATTTGCCAATGATCTTAAAACTGATGATTCACAGTCAAAATTGTCCAGAAAGTTGTCTAAATGGACATTTTCCATGTCCAAATGATTATTTTTGAGGTTATGTTCAATCTCAGCACAATTTGCAGTGTTTCTTGGCATTAAAAGATCAAAAAAGCACTGTTAATTGCTTGAAAATGTTTAATTCTGCACAAGAACTAGCATAAAATGCGTATTATTCACTAAATCTGTCCTTAATTCGCAACATAACCTAGAAAAAAAAATTTTTAAGTTTGTTTCTGCGTGAAAATCAAAGGATATTCAGAGAATCCGAACGAAAAATCAGTAAAAGAAGCACGAAGGAATGGAATATTATAGATTTTTCGACTGCCTTTAGCTGTACACCACTTCTGACTGTATTATCTCCCCCTTGGTGGAAGTTTCAATTAAATTTCAACACGATTTATGGTGGTCAAAGGGACAAAAAAGCCAGTCGAGAGTGCGTAAGATGAAAGGCAGAATGACGTATTGATGCTTGAGAGTTTGTTTATTTCACTCATTTTGCTCTCAAAAATATTGTTTTGATATTGTTGCACATTTGACAACAACATTTTCCACACAGGAAGCATTAAATTTTAACGCCAGAGAATTTTATGTGAAAAAAATGCAACTCAAATGAACTTTTCACTATTCTTTTCATACTTGACACGAAAAAGAGAAAAAAAACCTCCGACGGGAGATTTGCTTGGCCCAAGAGTTGTAATTACGATTAGATCAGACGATTAATTACAGCTTTTGGACTCATGCAAGTTGCAAAATGCCCGTTTTTCAATGCTTGCCAGAGTTGAGAATCATCGTGAATGGAGTGGAAGTGAATTGAGAGGAGATAAGAGTAATCAGAGACACTTCAGAGTGTGATAAATTGTGTGGTGCTTTCAGGTGTTGCTCTTAAATTCATCGAGATTCGGCGAAATGCAGATAAATTGAACCATTGATAGCATTTGAGGCATTTAGTAAGAGGAATTTGAGGGAAGATTTGCTATTCAGAGCCATGAGAATGTTCGGAAGCAAAGGCCAACGATGCCGAGCGGAGTTTCACTGCAGACAATGTGGCTTCAATCATGATCCTCCTGAGGATTTGGTTCGATCACAGGTGAGATAATTATCAGTTTACGAGGTGGTGATAATGTGTCCTGAAGTCTGTACTTAACAAGTCATAAAACACTGATAATTTCATCACATTTTGACGGTTTTCTGTTGAAAAACGCAAATTTTGAGTAATTCAAGGGGAAGATAATATGCCTTAAATCTGTGCAACACTTCCTAACATGTATAATTCTCTAATTATAACAAATCTCTCAAACTTCCCTTCCAATATTTCTATGAAAATACGCTTAAAAACGTCTTTTTGGGTGTCTTTTCCTAACTTAACCTCAAAATTTCACTAAGAGATCTTCAAAGACTCCATTTGGATGCTTTCTAGGTCCAAATTAATTTGCCAATTAACTCTAAATTGTAAATTCACAGTCAAAAACGTCCAGAAAATTTCATAAATGAGTATTTTCCAAGCTCAAATGAGTAGTTTTGAGGTTATGTTTGATTTGAATATTGCTAAAACAATGTTTATTGCATGAGAAATGCTTAATTCTGCCAATGAATAATTGAGCATTAGAATTGATGTGCTAGAATGCGAATTATTCAATAAATCTGTCTGTGATTCGAAACATAACCTAAAAATTGATCTTTATTATTGATTCGGCGTGAAAATCGAAGGAAATCCCTTGCTAAATGGTTATTTCACAGCCAAAAACACCCAGAAAGATTCCTAAATGAGTATTTTTAATGTTTAAATGAGTAGTTTTGAGGTTATGTTCGAGTTAAATACAATTTACAATATTTCTTGGCATTAAAGGATCAGAATATCAATTATTGCATGAAAAATGCTTCATTTTGCCAACGAATAACGATATTTTGAACTTGATTTTATCATTGATTCGTTACATAACCTAAAAGAGGTTTTTTATTACTGATTATTGTGAAAATCAAAGGAAATCCAAGGAATTGAGCTAATTTGTCAGTAAAATAAGCATTCAGAAATATTTCCACTTCTTCTGATTTGTACACCACTTCTCACCAGAATGTCTCACCCTTGTGCTTTACAAATTCAGTGGCAACGGCGGAACAAGAGCGGGCTTTACCTGGTCTACAGATGGCTCATCGCGGCGCTCTTCATCGCCGCCGTGGCGGTGAGCATGAGCGGCAACGCCACAGCCTCCGACTGGGGCTTCTACTTCATCTACCTGACCAACTGGGGCATCGTCGCGTGCATGGTGACGACGACAATGGGCGCCATTCTCGTCTCCCTTTGGCACTTTCATCCACAATTCTCCGGTGAGTTTCAACTGTGTCAAGGCAGCGCCAAAATCCCTCCAATTAAAGCCTCTTCAAGTCCATCCAGCCCAACAATTCGGCTCATTCATTAGATTTTGTCGCTGCCAACAATTAAAATTCATTGTTGGCTAAACTGGCGAAAAAGTGCCTTTTAGCGGGTCTCTTTCACGCGTGAATCCCTCTCGGCGCGTTGTGCATGTGTTACAGGCGGTGCCACAATTATAGACTCACCAACGACGGATTGGCCAATAAATTCGATTTTATTAGCGCGGTGCCTCGAGCGCAATAAGAATGAGGGTTTGTGTGCCAAAGCAATTAAAAGCATGTCTATTGGGCAATTTTGTGGCTCTGCTTTAGAGACGTTGAGAATGTGTGAAGTGTGTGGAAAATATTCCTTGGCTTCTGTTTAGTCCAAATTCTGCTCGTCACTGGGCAAGATGACAATATTTTTGTACTTTTATCTCCTCAAAAACACACACAGCTTTCACTTTCAGCCTCGGATTTCTAAGTACTTGAAAGTCAAGCATTGAAAGTCGGCTTTATGACTTGTTATTTTGTATCACACTTTTTAATAGACACCAAAATATTTGTCATTTGGGGGGAGGAAAAAAAACGTAATAATCAATTACAAATCCCCCATTGATTAATCCACTTTATCACAAGCATTGTAATTGAAATTCCATCGAGTGATAAAACAATTTATGACTAATTTGATCACAAAATGTCTCCGGATTGTAATGTTGAGTCGCTGTGTGTATTTTTTCCTCAATGATGCACTTCGAGGCGACATTAAAAAAGCGCTAACGAGTGCTTAAAGAAGCCCACTTGAGGAGGGATTTTGAAACTGAAAGAAACTCAACAAGAATACCGATTTTTTCCGATCAGTCATTTGGGCAAAACAACTGTTTTTTTTTGGCTCGCAAAGAAGATCACCCGACAATTGCTATTTAATTTTTGATGGCACAAGATCACGTGTGATGACAAAAAACTAGATGTTGTCTTTTCCCGGTCAAGATCACACGCCTGGCTTCTTATGGCGTGGCTTTTATCGCCGCAATGACTCTTTAATGGCTCGCATTTTTCGTCTTCGGCGCTGATGTTTAACGTTTTCCGTTTCAGCACGCGTGGAAGTGGAAGGAGTCGTCCCAACGGCGTTCAAAGTCTACTGGGCATTGCACAACTCCACCTTGGTCATGTCAATCATTATCACAATTATCTACTGGTCGATCCTCTTCGACGGTGAGTTCCTTCACGATTGGCTGGATTTTGTTGCCAAATTGACAAAATTGGCCGTTTGCAAGGCGGGCAAAATGTGACCAAAATCTGTACATTATTCTAACCGACAATCGACTAGAATCTAACGCATAACTAACTAACTACGTTATCACTGAGATTCTCAAGCCGGTGTTTTATTATTTACTTGCTTGAATGACAGTTTTGAGCATCTTTTATTGATTAATTCCATTTCAATTAAAGCGTGTCTAACCTAAAATTGTAATTATAACGTGAAAAATTGAGGTTAAGTTTGACTTTAACCCTGGTTTTTCCACTCAAGATCCAGAATCTTGATTTCCATTCAGTGTGAATGCGAAATTTCACTAATAAGTGGAAATAATGTCAGTTTAGGGCAAGAATTTCTATTATAAAATAACCTAACCTAAAAATGCATGGAGCGGCTGTGGCTCAGTGGTCAACGCGCTTGACTCTCAATGCTACAGTCGTGTGTTCGAATCCCACCGATTGCAAATGTTCAATCACAGCAGAGTGCAAAAATAAGCCTTTCAATGGCAGATTATAGCAGCCAAAGCGGGTTATTGTTGAATGTTACAGCTGAAACATACACTTCACATGAATTGTCTTGCGCTCTGTCTCTGTATAGAATAAAGGTGGACGTTAGAACCACTTATGATTGGTCGGCAAGCTGACAATCTGTCACCGTAAAACCAAAACTTGACTAGATATCTGTTTTAATGGAGAAGGCTGTGTCCCTCAATGGGATGTTAAAGCCATATAAGTAAGTAAATAAAAATGCATAGTAGTCGAATGTCAGGATAAGATTTAATTTCTTTATCAGTAGAAGAAATCAATTTCTGATCACAAAATCCCTTCCTTTGCCAGTTTAGAGACACATTTTTGACGCAATGAAATGTCAAATTTGAATTCAAATTAACAACTGTGACATTTTCAGCTGAAATCCACATCGCCGATGCCACAAATGTCATGACGCACGCCACCAATTCCGTCTTCATGTTCCTGGACATCCTGATCGTGGCCTATCCTGTCAGGATTTACCACGCCGTCCATAGTCTGATCTTCGGCCTGATCTACGTCATCTTCTCCGTGATCTACTTCGCCGCCGGCGGCACCACGAAGTCAGGCGCCACGTACATCTACAGCGTGCTGGATTGGAATGATCCTGGCAGCGCGATGATCACAGTTGTGGGCGTGTGCGCCCTGGGGATCATCATCCACACCATTCTCTACTTGATCTACCTGCTGCGCACGTGGATCTTCAGGCGGTACTTCGAGAAGGAGGAAATCATGCCCACAACGTCGCCCGCCAGCACACTTCCCGGCCACGGAATCTCGATGGTTCTGGGGCAATTTGGCCAGGACAATCGCGCCTTCACCACAAGCACAGAGAAGCTCTCGTACACCACGGAAAAGTACTGACGCGGCGTCAGTGGATCGGTTTAGCTTTAGCCTCCTTTTTACCATATTCGAGACAGGGTTAGTGAATTTAGCTAATATATTAAGTGCTAATAAACCGTCAATTCTTTTGGGGGCCGAGAAGAGAGTCACTCTTCTCGCCAATACTCTCGACATTCATTCACGATGCTACCTGTATTTTATAAGATGATTTAGTATTTAGTGCTGTGATTATTATTTAATGTACTTAATAAAAAAAACCCGTGTAAGTTAATCTGCGTGACCTTTCATTGACGCTGCGCGATCATTCTGGGTTACTATAATGCGCGCTGTGAGGTTTTCCGTGGCCATTCATGCATTCGGACGAGCTTCGATGGTGCAGAAAGTGAAGTGGAATTGATTCGTGAAGGTGATTTTCACGATCAAGAATTGGGTGAAATTCTTTCCGCTGTGCTTTACAAAAAAAAGCACCATTTAATTAACAAATCCTCAACTTGATTTCACACACTGTGTTGAGAAAATTTATTATGAGGAAAAGAAAGTTGTAGAACATTTTCATTTTGGGGATTTTCGCGCAACTTTATGATGAATTTCACCAACAGACAAGGGAAAAATCACTGGCCAATTTAATAAAAATAATCAAAAAATTATTATTTTCGACAAAATACTTCAATAAATCAAATCATATTTCAATATATTGAGGAGTTTGATTTTTTTTCTCTACATATCGCCGCCAGATGGCAGCAAAGTTGGCGTGGGGGACGCTAATAATATCGCTTTTTCCGTATAATTTTCTCTTTTCTCACGCATTTTCCTACTTTATGACTTCCTGGCGTGATTCTGGCCAGGAAAGAAAGAGATTTGAACACGAAAATTAAGCTTTTCGCGTAGAAAAAGCCCAGTTTCATCATCAGCTGATCAAGTTTGAAAGTCATGTAGAAGTTTAGATTGTATTTTCCAAAGACAAATGTGACTTTTTCAGTTATTCAACATTACCAAATTATTTAGAGGCGTTTCATCCCCCAAATTGGCTCATTGTTCAAATTGTGATACTAAACTGCTGCCCTCTAGCGACAATTTGTGTAGAAAATAATCAAACTTTAAATAAGTGATGCGATTTTCCCCTCAAAAATAAAGAGAATTGCTTAGAATCTCTTGCATGAAAATTTGATAAGACTTTTCTTGTCATTTCCTCTTTCTTCCTTCAGAACTTTGGGCGTTTGAGCCGAAAGCATTGAAGCATTCTCAGAGTGGAAACTTTCCTCAAACAACATCGAGACAATGCAAGAGTGCAAGAACCGAACACGCATTTGTGATGCAAACACGCCGCGCGTTGTCACTTAGTCTGCACTCAAGGAAATTCCATCCAGATGAATATTTACCCATTCAAAGTGACTCTAATTACACTCTCTGGCAGTTAATTGCGCTCAGCTGCACAATGTTTAGTAGATCTTGAGGACAACTGAACACAATCGAAGGACTTTCCATACATTTAATATGAGAGAAAAATATATAAATCATTTACATTCAATAAATGGCCCGGAATCATTTTTCAATACTCTCTCGTTTCCATATTTTTTATCAAAAACAACAAAAAAAAAAAGAAATACTTTTGTGAATGATTACAACCCTTAATCATCATTCGAGGCACTTTTTGCAGGCACATAATTTTCCCATTTTTAAGTTCAGAGTTATTTTAAACATCGAGACTGTAATAAAAATTACATTTCAAGTACGTTGATTTGTTCGGAAAAAAGTACTCACTTTTACAATGACTTCAGCATTATAGAGTTAATAAGTAAAAAGTTGTTCGATTTTGCTTTACACACACACACACAAACATACACGCACGCAGAAACACTCCTCAGGAAGTGAAGGAGTCGATGCTCCTTGGCAAGAGAGTATTAATTTTCTTGTGGCTCGCGACGTCCCGCAGGAGTTCCGCGCCTCGGCGAGATTCACCTCCGCGCGCCGGCTTCACATGTTGTTCTCCAGCGTGCCATCGAGCGGCCCCATGCTCTCGCCATAGTCCAGCTCGTCCTCGCTCGGCATCTCCTCGAAGTCGTCCTCCTTGCTCTCCGGACACATGAGGCACCGGCTCTCGTTGATCCCATAGTTGATGCACGTGGAGCCCACGCACTCGCAGCACCCGTCATGGAACCACCTGCAAAACCACGCGCGCGTCAGTCGCTGGCAGACTTCGTTTAACCCCTTCGCGACCGCGCAGTCTTTGCGCTTCTCCTTGGCATTCGACTCATCTCTGCTTTAAGGCCCAAATAGCAATGAATATATTCACATTTTTGCCAATAGGCAACGCATGAGTCGTTGCAACATTACGGATTTCGTATTTTAGTTCGTAAAAACTACCAATTTAGTGTTGCAACCAAGGAGAAGTCACAAGGCGCTTTTTGAGGAAACTTTAGGTTCGTTTTAATGTTCTCTAATCAAATAATCAATTATTTGAGTATAATAATAAAAAAAAAATGATAATTTTCCCAAGAAAAAATGCAAAATAATCAAATTTTCAATAAAATTATCAAAAAATAATAATAATTTGTATGAAATAATTGATTTTTAATCAAATATTCAGAAAATAATCAGAATTTGTATGAAATAATTGAAAAAATTATTTTTTCTTAAATAACATTGCAAAAAATCAAATTTTGAATAAAAATAACAATCAAAAAATTATTGAAATTCTTATGAAAAAAATCTAAATAAAAAAAATAACAAAAATGATTGAAATTTTTATGAAAAAATCTAAATTTGAATAAGAATCACGAAATAATAAAGAAAAATGATTGAATAATCAAAAAGATAATTGTCTCAACTTGTGAGTAACTTTACGGATTCTTGAAGAATTCTGTTGGTCAGAATATCCATGAAAATGTCTTTGGAATAAAAACATAGCTTTTCATGTACTTGAAAATGCTTTGGAAAACCAATTCGTTTCTTCGGAACGATTCTAAGGATGTTCGGAAACACATAACCTCAATCCAGTGCCGGGAATTGTGCACAAAATGACCCGAAAAATCCAATGAAATTAATGCTAATCAATCTAAAAATATCAGTTTTGTCTATTTCATCAGTTTTCAGGTGAATTTTCTGGCTTTCCTTGTCTTGGCAAAGTTTAAAACATTTCAAGTCTCAAATTCACCACTTTTTGTAAATATTATGAATCATAATCTTGCAACGACTTTTTAAGAATTCATATTTTTGACATTTTATTTAAAATGTTATGAACGTAATATTGCAACGACTGCAACCAATTTTTTAGTCAATTTAATCAGTGAAAATAGTTTTTTTTTTCATTCATTATTAATTCTAAATTTGTTCCGCATGAAAATGGAAAATTTACTCGTTTATTAAAATAAATCAATTTCTCAATTATTTATGTATTAATCAAAATTTAATTTATACATAATTCTACGTCATTTATTGAGAATCTGCAGCAAATATTTCACTTCCAGAGGCTTTGAAATGTTTTATTTATGCTCAATGCAACATTAAATGTGTTAAAACGTAAACAGAGACGATTTATTTCATTGCCAAGCATTGTTTTCAACTTTCATTTCTCAGCCACGAAAGTAACGTGAAATTTCCAAGAATGTTTTGAGAATATTCATGAAATTCTGCTTGAATTTCCGATCAATTTGAAGTGCGAAAAGTCGGCAAAGGGTTAAAAGAAAAGCCACTTTTCCACTAATCTCCCAAATCAAGCTCAAGGCTTCGGAGAAGTCAGTCTTGTAAGACTGTGCAGCGCTCTGGGCGCCTGGCCGAGTCTTATTTGACTCACCTGTAGCTGGTCGCGCCCATGCTGTTGCAGTGATCCTTGCACTTGTTCCAGGACATGCACTGCGACAAGTAGGCGACGGTGCAGTTGAGCGTCACGATGTTCTTGTCGCTCTTCGCGGCGGCGTCCAGCTCCTGCTCGGACGAGTGGACGTAGAACGTGTGATCGCGATCGAGCTTGGCGCCATAGAGAGCGGCATCGAAGTCGACGGGGAAGGTGAAGATGCTCCACTTCTCCTCAGCGTCTGGCTCATCCGTGAGGGCATTGAACAGTCCCGGCACGCCCTCCAGCTCCTCCACGTGGGACTTCTTGGACAGCGCGTTCTTCGTCTCGTTGGGCTTCGGGCACATCTCCACGCAGCTGCAGCACTCGCTGTACAGATAGGAGAGGCAGCTGAAGCACTCCTTGCAGCAGCTGCAGTTCTTCAGGTCGCACTTGCAGCTCTGCGTCAGCATGCACTTGGACACCACGGAGGCGCACACCATCTCATTGCAGCTGTACGAGAGATGCACGCACAGCGCCAGGACCACCACGGACGTGACGCCCAGCCACACGAGACGCTCCCCATTCGCCATGGCTGCGGAGAGAGATCGAGATCAGTGCGTCGCAATAGACAGAACTTGAGTGGCTCCTTAAGATCTCTGATTTGAATAAACAAATCTCTGGGCGATCGTGTAAACATCGATAAACATTCACGGAAGCGCTCTGCTTCTCTCTCTCTCTTCCCCAGCAGAGACGCCCCTCACTAGCGCCCTCCAGCGCCCACACTCTCCACCCTCACGCGTCCCCCGCGTGATCCTCCACACCCATACTCACTTTTCCACCTGCTGCTGTCGGATAAATGGCACTAATTACGCGAAAATCGATCTCAAAAGTGCACCTTGGCGATCACCACACAAAACTTCTCATGACAGATTCCATAGAGCGAGACAGACTGCTTTCCGATCGCGATCTCCGTCCAGACAACAACGCCATCTACCGCCTCAGCACTACTTTACTCTGCCCAAAGTACAAAATTCTCTTTCATTTCTCAGTCGCCGAGAGATTCTTCAGCGAATCCTCAAACTCCACCGGCTCAATCGTCCTCTTGGCCGCTTCGTACTTGGGCGGCCCAATCAGCGCCACCACCTGGTCGTAGTTCAGCGTCTCCTTCTCCAGCAGCGTCTCGGCAAGCTGTGAAAAACATCCACCGGAATCAGTGATCAGAACTTCTTTCTGCATGAATTCTCTACCTTCGCCAGCAACTCTCGGTTCTCCGTGAGAATCTCCTCGGTCCTCCTGTACGCCTGAGCCACGAGATTTCGCACCTCCACGTCAATTATGTCGCCCAGCATGCGCGAGTAGGGCTTCTCCGATGACATGCTGTCCTCCTCATTCTCCGGCACGCACATCGGGCCGATCTTGTCGTTCATCCCGAACTTCGTGATCTGCGCATGGGCGATCTTTGTCACCTTCTCCAGGTCATTCTGCGCTCCTGCCGAGGAGAAAAAGGCATCAAAATGACGGCGAGAAGCTGCAGAAGAAGCTTGAAATCCGCGCTCACCTGTCGTAATTCTGTTGAAGATCAGATGCTCAGCCACTCTCCCGCCCAGAGCCATGCACATCTTGTCGAAGAGCTGCTCCTTGGTGAAGAGCTTCTGCTCGCTGGGCGTGTACTGGGCGAATCCCAGAGCCAGACTCGTGCGCGGCACAATCGTCACCTTGAGCAGAACGTCGGAATTGGGCAGAAGCCATCCGACCAGCGCGTGTCCGGACTCGTGGAAGGCAATCACGCGTCTCTCGGTGGGCGTCAGGGCGTGCGATCTCTTCTCCGTGCCGCCCACGAGTCTCTCCACGGCGTACTCCAGATCCTTCTCCGCCACCAGCGTCTGACTCGTCCGGGCGGCGTGCAGAGCCGCCTCGTTGCACACATTCGCGATGTCAGCGCCGGAGAAGCCGGGCGTGAGGGTGGCCAGGCGCTGGGAGTACTTGTCGGGCGACTGCAGCAGCTTGATGCCCGACAGGTGCTTCTCGAAGATGTCCTTGCGCTCCGCCAGGTTGGGCAGATCGATGAGGATGTGACGGTCGAAGCGCCCCGGGCGCAGCAGCGCCTTGTCCAGGATGTCAGCGCGATTCGTGGAGGCGAGCATGAGGACGCCCTCCTTGGACGCCATTCCGTCCATCTCCACCAGCAGCTGGTTGAGCGTCTGGTCGGACTCTCCGGAGCTGAACTGTCCCATGCCGCCGGCTCCGGCGCGCTGGCGCCCGATGGCGTCGATCTCGTCGATGTAGATGATGCACGGCGCCCGCTTCTTGCCCTCCTTGAACAGATCGCGCACCCGTGCGGCGCCCAGGCCGCCGATCATCTCGATGAACTCGCTGCCGTTCATGCTGAGGAAGGGCACCTGGGACTCCGTGGCCACCGCCTTGGCCAGCAGCGTCTTGCCGCAGCCCGGCGGCCCCAGCAGCAGGGCGCCCTTGGGCACCTTGGCGCCCAGAGACTGATAGCGCTGCGGATTCTTCAGATAGTCCACGAACTCCGCCACTTCCTGCTTCGCCTCCTGCAGCCCAGCCACGTCCCTGAACAGCACGCCCTTGCCCTCGCTCACCGGGTCGATGAGGGTGAACTTGGCGCGCCCCATTTGCGTGAAGGAATCCATGCTGATGGGCGACTTGCCGCCGCGCATGCGACTGAGGAAGGACAGCGCGATCATCGCCACGACGAACATGAAGAACAGTCGCCCGCCCAGCTCGCTGTTCCTGTCGAATGTCACCGTGACGCCCTCGCGGATGCCCAGGCGCTTCTCCACGTCGCGCAGCTTCTCCTCGAACTTGTCCGCGTCCGCAATCGCCATGTGGAACACAGTGTTGATCGCCCGGCGCCCCTTCACGATCGCCCCGTCGTGCAGGATGATGGTGACCATCTCCAGGTCTGGCCGCACGATGAGCTCCTTCACCTCGCCGGCCGCTATCATGTGATGCACGAACTCATTCCACGACACGTAGCGCGTTCCAGTCTCCGGACGATCCCGGCCGGACGCCGCCAGCGACAGCACCGTGACGAATATGTAGATGGTGGTGATCCAGAAGGCGGTCTTCATCAGCACAGACATCATCTTCTCCTCGTTGTCGTTGCCCTTCTTCGGATCATCGCCCTGCGAGCCGCCGCCGCTTCCGGAGCTCTGCTGGCCGCGCTCTTTCTGGCGCTTGGCGCTGTTTGAGTGGAAAAACCGCACAACTTCCCTCTTTGTCAGACCCGTGGATCTCTCCAGGAGGCCCACCAGTGCTCTAATCTCCTCCCGGACGGGAATCTCCTGCAAATCCACGCCAAATTGTGAAAATCTCATCACCACTTGTCATCCCGAATGTTTACCTTTTTCTCTGCGCCATTTCTCGCCAAGATTCCACTGACATTCGCTAAACTCCGCGTGTCTTGCTCCACAAGGAGTCTCCCTGTGAGTCTGTGCAGCTGCCATCGTGAAAATGCCCTGGAAATTCGATAAACACCCCCCATCCTGACCATCCTGACCAGAGACTCAGCAAAACACTCAATTTCACCACTCAGCTGAACTTCCTCGAGGTGACCACTAGAGGCGCTGCGCTCTGTGAAGTGAAGGAAAAATCCGCGCAGAATTTCTCAAAGCTTCTCATTATTCCGCTGGTAAATTGAAGAAATTTTGCAGAAAACACTCAAGTTTCTCAGTGAAAAGTGTGATTTATTATTGTTTCTTATTCAACATTCTACGGGGCAGTGAACGACGTAAGGGAAGTACAGGTGAGAAACAATTCCCTGAACTTAATGAAACTTAACCTCAATCTGATGACTGGCGCGGCTTTTTGGAAGCTTTTGGGGCTTCAGGAGGTCACTTTGACGGTGGCAAGTACGTCCTGGGCGGCAGGTACATTCGGTCCACAGACACCTTCTCGTCTGTGATGGCGAAGGGGTTCTCCCCTCGGGGATGCTCAAAGAAGTCCTGCTGAGGATTCCGGACTTGGATCTTTGCAGGCTTCGGGGGCGCTTCGAGGTGGTTGAAGTTGTTGAAATTGAAATTCAGAGGCTTCAGAGGCTCCAATTTCTTCACGGGTATCTCAATTCTGGAAATTATTCGGATGTAGTAAAGATTTTGGCGGGTTTTTCTTGTGATTCCGAACTCACTCTGGAATGTCGACTTCCAGTTCGGTTATGGGATGATATCCGAACTCATCGGCTGTGTACTTGACTCTGTATCGCTTCCCATCGGCGCCTGTGTAGGAATAACTTCCCATGACCACGAAAGTCTTCTCGTCCTTCAGCTTTCCCGCTTGCTGAATGGAGATGCCATTCTGCGTCTCTAGACTGAAGGAGGACATCTTGAAAATCTGACAAACAATGTCAAATCTAATCCACTCACGTGTATTTGAATTTCCCTTTGCCCTGATTCAGGTTCTCTTGGTTCAGGATCTTTGCTTTCTTGATGTCACCTTCGAAGATCGTTGGCGGCTTGTCCTCGTCGTCGTCTTCGGGCAAGGCGATGTCCTTGTCGTCCTTGAAATAGTCCAGCGTGGCATATTTGAGGGAAGATTTCGGCCTCGGAAGCTTCGCTCCACAAACCACAGCGAGAATACTCAAGAGGATGAGCTGAAAAGAGAGTGAAGATCAATTGCAGGAAGATTATGTTTTTTTTTCCTGTTTTGTTTTCGAGGTTAATGGCGTCTTAACGGCGGGAAAATGAAGAACAGATTGTAGGCGCCGCACCTCTGCATGAATTTCGGGCTTTTATCTATTTCTTTGCGAAACTCTTGTCTCAGATTTCATTTCGGAAGGTCAATCTGCTTTTGATTAATTGCTTTCGCTTTCGAAAAAAAAACCTATTTAGACTTGCTTAAAATTCAGTGTTAATTTTTTGATTAATTTATGATCCCAAAGTTTTATATGCATTCTTATGTGAAGCTCTTTAATGTCTCATCCCACTAAAAAGACAATTTTATGATTATTCGTGTCCTCATGAGTGATGCCAATAAAACTGTGTTATTGCAAGGAGATTGTTTGGTGAGCATAATTTGCGATTAGAATTGTCGCCAACCGGAAACCTGTTGTCACTCCAATTAGGAGTTTTTGTGTGCCCAGCGAAGGAGCAAAAAAGCGTCAGCAATTTTTATGCAAATTCACAATGAAAATTGAGTCACAGTCTGAAGAAAATCGTCAGTCAATAGGCCACAGTGGGTAAATAGAGGAAAAAGTTCTTGGATTTCTGTGGTCAAATATTTGATCACTTGATTGTCGAGAGTGTCACTTTAGCCTGGGCCTGTACAGAATTTATTCCAGTGACCTTCCGAAGCTTTTGCATTTGATTCATTTGATTCTAACATTAATAAAAGACTAAAAGAGCACAATAAAAAAAGCATTTTATTTCACCTCGTGCGCACAAAGTGTTTTGATATCAAAAGAATATCCACTTAAAAGCCAAGCTCAAAAGTGTTTCATTTTATTATATATTTTCTGTCACACGTGCTCAAGTTAATGTTATTAATTGGTCGACACATAATTTCTGGCTAATTAAGTTAATTCGCGATTTTTTTCCTTTTTCTGTTCACTCTTCAGCGCTCTAATGATGAAGAAAATTGGTGTTTGAGTGAATAAATTATCATTGTGATTTGCATAAGAAGCTGCGGATCTTAAGATTCAGTCGAATGGAGGAGAATGAAGAAATTAAGCGCCAATTTGTCTAACATTTTATTGTGTGTTCCTCACGAAAATGCTTCTCAAATTCCCTTCGATTCCATTCATTATGTTTTTCCGGGGGGGACAAAATGAGAAATTTCACACATTTCAAATTAATTTTCCGCGCCACTCTTAACAACAAAAAAACCATCATTTTGATTAATGATCTTCTCGACAATTTTATGCTAATTTGTGACACAATTTTATTTACATTCGCCGATCTACATTTTGCCAATTCCACTAATTAATCACAATCCTTTCAATGGCTTCATTTTCTACACTGGAAAACCTGTTGAATTTCCTACTATAACACTTCTTCTGGGGCTTCTTGGGTTTCTTTCGGCGCTAATCGAGGTGGCGAAGCGTCTTCTGAACACCGCACAGAAAATTGGGTGCGGATGAAGAAGAGGTCGAAGACGAAACGGTGTGTTATTTTGGGGGAATCTCATAACCTTTCGATAATTGATAGTTCTTCCTTATTTAAATAATTCTACCATTTTACTCTGCACTGAAGAATAGAGATTAAATTCTGGCTTTTCACGCGACGAAGACGATGGACAGACTTGAGATAAGAAGTCATCAAGATAGGCTAAATCAATGTTGGGGTGACGTGAGATTCTTCAGAGAGCCAAACTTTGATGAGAATTGAAAAAACTGTCAAAAACGAGTGTTTTCTTGGTTCTAAAAGATGTTTGAAAAGGAAAAAAACGTAAAATTAAGCGGATTTTGTAGGAAAATTGTGATAAAATGAAGGAATTTTGCCAGCGACAGCAGCGCCACTCTTTCTAACTTCCACCACAATTGAATTTTCACTCAATTTAATTTTTTAGAGCTTTCGGAGTTAATTAAATGTGTTGATTTGCCGCCCAAAAACATCAATTCTCACATAAATACGTCAAATTGAAATCAATTTCACTCTTAATTGACTGTGATTAATTGCAATATCTGCGATTTGCTTTTGATATTCTTTCCAAAAAAGCTTTTCAATGAACATTTATTGTGCGGCGCCTCAATCTTTCTTTCATGTGCAAAAAAGGTTGATTTTCAAGCACTCTTGGCTGCTTTGTAGCCTCTAACCTTTGCCTGACGACTCCTTTCAAAACACATCTCAAAAAATGGGTGGTTTTTTTGCGCCACCGCGCGACCTTTCTTGGGGCGCAGAAGTAAGAGAAAAATCACACATGAATTTATCGTCACTTTCCATTTCAATGAGCATTTTTGCCAGCTGAAACTCCCAAATGATGGATATTTATTGAAATAATTAGCACAGAGAGTCACTTGTGGTGGCCAAGAAGGTATTTCCACACTTCTTTTAGCATATTCAATCCAAGAAATGCAAATAGACGGGAATTTTTATCACTTTGCTGGGATTTTTTGTGTGCCAAATCACTGTCAAAAACCATTTGCACGATTGAAGGGAGGGAAAAAAAAATGAAGGGGAAAACTTACAATTTTCTTCATATTTTGCTGGCCAATTCTATTGGATTTCAGTCGTCACCACAATGTCACTGGGAAAAAAGTCCTGAGAAACTTTCAAACTGACTTTTCTCGCGGAGGAATTTATCTTGAGTCTCTGCGTGAGAACAGTTTTGTCCGAGTGATGCTGAGTCTTTATATGCCAATCCCTTCTATCTCTTCGAATGGATCTCTCCAAAGTGTCCCCACTTTTTTTTTCCCAGCAAAAACTCTCAGTCTCAGTAGAAATCTTTCGTGCGCGCATCTTCTTCTCTCGACAATTTTATTCAAAATCCGCCTGGAGAATCAACTCTGTGATTGGCTGTTTGTGCCTCCAAAAAGCACCTCTGCGGCCGATGCTCATATGGAAGTGGACTTTTCCACCCAGTTTCCCATCACTGAGCCTCTCGTGCTGTGTCTGTTTGCCTATCAAATGAGTTATGTGCAATAAAATGGGATTTTTTGGTCACATTATGAAGGCGGGAGATTCAAAGATAAATCTATTATGTGTCTCTGTCCCAAGTGACAGTTTGTGAAGTACATTTTCTAGTCGCGGCCGAGGTGAAAAATTGGCCAACAGATGACTAAGAAATAACAGTCCTGCGTCATGCGTTTGATTGGCATGATCCAAACTCTAATTCCTCGGTCACCATGGAAAAAATTTTCTTCTTTTTTTGGCAAAAAATCTATTTTTCATAATTAACGTCTTGTGTATTTTTGAAGAGCTTTTGATCTGTTTCGACGGGTGAATGGAAAACTATGAAAAGTCGATATATCATAGTTTACGTCTTATGAATTTTTGAAAAGCTTTTTATTTGTTCTTTCTGTACAAGAATTTAAAGATTTGTATCTTATTAGACAATAGCAAAAAAATCGTATTTATCTAAAAAAGCACAAATGGAAAAAATTGTCATGTTTTGCGAATGAAAAGTCGATTTTTCATTGTTTACGCTGTACAATTTTTCCCCAAGAAAAATGTCTCAAAAATTGCAGTGAAACGCATAAAACACCTTTTCAGAACATAATTATAGATGTTCAGAATTATTCTAAAATGTTTTTCAAGACTTTTAATGAATATTTCTCATATCTTTTATATTTTTTCACTTGAAAACATTAAGGAAAAGTTCAAGTAAAGTATGAAAAGTTGGTTTTTAGAGCTTGTTTGGATAAAATTGACTCAAAGACTAATAAAAAGACACTTTGAAAAATAAAAATTTTCAGATTTTCCATTAATTTTGACATATTTTAGTCAAAAATTCTAATAAATACAGATAAAATCAACTAAAATATTTACAAAATAAAAAATACTTAGCAATATTTACATTTTAACGGACGATTTGAAGCCGTTTTTAAGATAAATTTGGCAAATTTTGCAGCAATATTGAAGCGAAATCTTGAAAATGCTCTGCTGAGTAATTGCATTTTTGGCTTTTCATAGTTTTCGAGGCACCCGTCGAATTGAAAAAATTTTGAAATCATTATTTAATCAGGAAACGATAAATAAATCTTTTTAATCCAAAAATATGACTAGAAAAAATGCAAAATGTCTTTTTATTGTTTACAACGTACAGTTTTTTCAAAGAAATTTGTTCTAAACCATAGAATTTTCCTAAAATATTCTTAGATTTTGAATAAACCAAATATTTCCATATCTTTTAATTTTTTCTGACTATGACTGTGACTTTTTTGACTGTGGAAACTTATAATTCCAGTTTATCTTTAAATTTTGCCATATTTTAGCTAAAAAAGGTTTTGATAAATTCCAATAAAATCAACTGAAAAATTCAGAAAATAATTATTAGACGATATTATAAGATAAAGATTGCTAGACGGTCAGAATTCATGCTATTTCAACTTGTTGTGTTGCTTGGGTGTGAATTTTATCAGGCTTCTTTCGGCGCCTTTTTCTTGCCCAAATAATCCAGATGTCCAAATTGTGACTTCTTCTTCACACTGTGTGCTGAGGAAACTTCTTCAACTTGTCGATCGACGGCGATAAGACGAAGAATCACAGTAGGAAGTATCTCATAATGAACCACACGAGGAAAAAAGGAGTTTGGATGTGTTATTTTTTGAAAGGTGAAAAATCCTCAAGGCGGAAAATAGCTGAAGCCAATTAAAATGTGGAATTTATTTGATTGAAATGTGTCTTCTAAATGTAATTTAAAACCATCATGAGTCGTTTCTTCCACTGATATTTCAATGTGTGGTTAATTTATTATCTGCAAAAGATGAGTTGAAATGCTGTAGATCAGAGTTTCCTATAACACAATCGGATGTAATCGACAGCTAAAACATCTCTGAAAAAAAAAAACCATATATTTATAGATAAATTTTGCCTCATTTCAACATTGCCGAAAATTAATTAGTTACGGACATTTGGCGATGAGATTTTGGTGAATGGAGCGTTTCGAGGTGTTTGTATTTTATCGTCTCTGAATTCAGGCATCAATTGAAGACTCTTCTTGTGGCAAGATTGCGGAATAAAATTGCAATTCGACTCTTTGAGGTCTTTTCTTTGTGATTCCCTCCGAAGATGGTCATTCTTCATGCGCTAAGTATCTCTAGAGATGCATAAAAAACATGCAATTTGACATAATGTACTTAAAGCAGTCCCAAGAGAGGCTTCGAACATTACCAAAATTCCTCTGTTGTTCCCCGTGAAAAATTGCCCAGACTGCAATTGGTGGATTGACGGTGATTTCCATGCTTCAACTCCACCTTCATCAGTAATTCAGCGCGACAAGAGTCGTGTGGCATTGATGGTTAATTGAGGAAAGAATGTGTTAGTCGTGATGACTTTGACAGCACTCCAATTTAGCATTTTGGATGAGGCTTCGCGAAACTGACGATGAAAAAAGATCTCAATGTGCGTGAAGATGCTCATCGGGAGTGCGAAAGGGTTTTCCACAAACATTTGTTCTCATCATGTTTACATTTGGTTTTGACCTATTGACAAACATTGATTCGATTTTTGGATGCTTCTTCACTGAATCGCGTATTTTAATGATCAAGGTTGAAATATCGACGTTATCAGACCATTAAACATTCATTTCCTCTCATTTATGCTAACTTTATGTCCTGATCTTTTGATGAATTGAGCAAGATGAAAGGCGCGATCAAGTGAATCTGAAAAATAAAACTCGTTATGAGGAAATCTGGCTAATTGTGAATGCATGAGTTATCCAGAGAATGACACAAAATAGCAGTCAGCATCGCAATTCGCATGCAAATCTCTCATAAAATTCTCATAATTCTACAAAAGGCTGACAAGTCCCCTGTTCTTAAGAAATTGCACTGTTCACACTCGCGATCAGAAGAAGACTAACTCGCGCGAATCTTCGCGGCACCCCCAGTGCTGCCTCTACCGTCCTATGCTAACAGCGAGGATCTCGTCAGAAGGAGAAGACCGCCATGACAGTGGCACTCTCGCCACACAATCTTACGATCTTATCCGTGATACTTTTTTTCGCGAAATCGACCTTTAAGCGCGGTTAATTGCGCTGAAAACTCTTTTTCTGGGATAAGAAATCCTTCTGGTTATTACCCTGATTAAATATCCTTTCTTGTGCAGGCGATAAATCTCCGTACGATCCTCTGGAGTCATGGATTGTTCAGAACCTATAATTTGATACTTACTTAATCAAATTTTGATATCGAACACTTATAAAATCCAGATAAAATGTGAAAATCTACAGGATAATTATCCTAAAGACACCTCGGATTAATTTAAACTACTTAAAGAACCCAAAACAAATGATTGTTGAGACGGCGCTATTTAAAATCTCAGGCTATTTACTACTTTGGTTCGGTTTTGATAGCATAAAGGGATTAAAGATTAGGCCGAATGTCTTCAAACTTGGCATGGTAATTACTTATCAATATAATTCAGACCTTTAGCTGTCACTGTAACAGTAGAGAGCTTTCTTGATTTTGAATGAATTTCTTGCACACTGAAGTTTCTGTTACAGTCAGTAGTAGTGATTCAAGCTCCGCCCCTTTCAATGCCACGCCCATTTCTTATTTTGGTTAGGAGAAAACGCAAATTTTGCGAGTGAAAAGCTCCATGAAATATTCACAAATTGTCTGCCTCTTGGAATTTAATTGATTTTTAAGATCATCTCTTCTTGGTCGATCTTAAACTTGTGCGAAAATCTCTTAGATTTAGTCTCATCTTCTCGCACCATTCTTGTCATTATTTTCGTGCTTTTATGATCACGATTATTGACATAAACATCTCAAATAAAATCTAATGGGAGAGAAGTGATTTTAGCGGCGTGATCTTTGAATATTTCGCGAATAAATTTGTCGAATTTACGAGTGACACAAATTACGCTGTGTCGATTAGGTTCTTTCGGAGTGTGAATGATATTATAATAGGAACAGGTAGCGGTTTGCCTTTCATTGTCGCGGCCGCGCAAATCGTGGGTGATTTCTCAAGAAAAAAAAGCTCTGCAAATTAATCATGCTTAGCCATGTCTGATTATTTGAGAAATATTGAGAAATCGACGAGGAAGCTCAAACACGCAGATTTCTTTCCATTTTTATTTTTTATTTTTACATATATACAAAAAAGGTATACGTAATTTAAGAATAAAATTAAAAATAATGCATTTTTTTTGTTTAAAAAGGACTCTTCTAAAAGAAAACAGTTATAAATTATGATTTTTGTTTTTAATTTATTTGATAATCATTTCTCGCAACTCAAGTGTGTTTTTTTTTTCTTAGAGGAATTTGCGTCATTCTTTAATGTTTTTTTTCCTTTTAAATAGTCATACTTATTTACAGAAAAGCATTTTTCACATTTCTTTCTTTTTTTCTCTCTAAAATTCTTGCTCCAATAAGATTTTTTTTCATCATGCTTAATCCTTTCAGATTAATTTCATCTACTTTTCTTCTTCTTCTTTAAAAATAAGGTTTCTTTCCATTCTTTTCAGTTTCTGTTTCTTTCTTTTTTCATCATATAAAAAATCACTCGCAAATTATTTAAATTCTATGCATTTTCTTCCTCATCTCTTATGATCAATTAATAGTGTTTTGTTTTCTTTAATTTATTGACAAGAGAATTCATGTCTCATTAATTTTAAATTAGACTTTATTTCGCTAGAGTTTCATCAGACGCCCATTTAAGAGATGGATTTTTTTTAGTAGTGTTTTTTTTTCATCTTGCATTTGCAAACAATAATAATTTTTTTTTTATACTATTTAATAGCTTATAAATAGTTGTCACTATATTCTGAACGCTTCTTTTGCCTTTCGCATGACTTAGAATTTTGATGAATTTCCTTTTTGTGGTCAGTTCAGAGTGGGTTTTGTGATGTTCTTTTCATCTGCATTAATGTTTTAATTGTTATTTTCCATTTTGATAAATAACAAGAATATAAAATATAGGAAGGAAATATTTGGGATTCGGGTTAAATGTTTCGGTCTTTAGCAGATTCTTACAAGAATTACAATTGTGTTGATTCTTTTCTTTAAATATAATTGGTAATATTTTCTCAGGTGGTTCTTTTTTTTGTGTGTGATATTCTCCGGTTTTCTTTTTTTGAAGTAAGAATTAACAGTTTTCTTTAACCTTGTCTTCTAAGAAAATACTAAGATTGATCAGAGATTTTGTGGTTTCAACTTTTTTTTTTCTCTCTTACTGTGATTCGTTTTTTATGGCAAAAAATTGCATAGAGATAGACAAAGAGTTTTCAGTTAGAGATTAGAAAAAGAAAACAAGATTTTCCATCTACATATTCGTGGCCTTTTTGTGGGTTCTAGTTTTTTTTTTCTTTATGTTTTTCATTTAAAATTCTTACTGTCGCCTTTGGTAATGTCGAAAAAACACGAATTATTCCTAAACTGCATTCACATCATCTTGTTTTTCATTATAATTCTTCTTCACGTCTCTTTGTTTTTCTTCATTTTTTTTTTTTAAGTAGTATAAAAAAGGGGAAGGAGAAAACTGATTAGAAAATTTCTATACTTGTTTTTCTCTTTAATATTTTCCTTCGAGTATATAAGATATTTTTTCTCTTCATCCTAAATTACAATTATTCACTATTCCTTCTCTCTCTCTCTCGCTCTCTTCATCGTCATCTTGCATTTCGCTCTATTTATAATCATTCTGTTTGTGTGTCATAAATAAAAAGATTCTACACTGATAAAAAATATATATAGTTTAACAAAAAAAAAGACCTTAAAAAATCCTTCTCGGTGTGTGTTTTTTCTTTTGATGTGGAGAGAGAACAGAAAAAAATCCTGCCAAGTCGTGTAAAATCGCTCTTTCTTCAAGAAAAAAAAATCATAACTAAACTAAAAAGGTAGAAACTGCTTCTCTCTCATATCATATTATTGGATCACACAGCAAGTACACTTCTTCTTCTTCTTGTCCTCGATCACCACGTGACTGGCGGATTGCGGTCCTGGCACAACTTGCGTCTGCGTCACGTTCGTGGCGTCGCCGTTCGTCGATGGCTTGTCCTTTGACTTCTGAGGTGATTTTGTACCATTCTGTGATGCATTGAGTTGTGAAACCTGCGGGTGGAGGCGATGAATTAATGGCTCGGATGGTTTTTATGCGCATTTTCACGCTCACTTACTTCACTCTTTGTCACGCCATCGACCACGTTCGCCCCGTTCTCCACCCCGTGAGCCACGCCATTGGCGATTGTCTGGTTGAGATCGCCGGTCGGTGTGATGGGCTTCCCACCTGATAACACAGAGATTGAGAGAACAGAAATAGCATTTAGTCGCTGATTGGCAATGGGAAGATGTATTCAGACTCTGACTAATTGCATTGACGTCTTTTGAATATCATTTTCCAAGCTGGAGACATTCGGAAAACCAGTTAGAACAGGATTCAATGAAAGAGATTGATTGAATAAATGAAGATAGCAACATTTTGGACACTTGTTTGATCCAGTAAAATTACTCAAAATACAGCATTTTATTCCCACTGAGCACAAAATACAAAAAATCTCAATGTTGAGATTGAAAAAGCTCATTTTTATGCTATTTTCCGCTAAGTTGCTGTGATCAGTCAAAGTACTGATGCGCAGTTGAATGCATAGATGTCGCTTCATAGGTAACAACACTCAAGTGAATTGTATAAATAGCGTCATACAAATTCCTTCCAAAATAGAGAGATTTTACATGTTATCAGAGCGACGATTATGCATCACATTAATATCCATGTGGATTTTCGTTCAAGAAATCTACATTATCTTCACGAGAATCGGTAAGTAGCGGCGAATTGCGGCGAAATTTTGACATAACCCCATTTTTCGCGCCAAAAGTGTAAACAAACAGTGAGAAATTGCACAAACTACGTCTGGAAAGTCCCGAAAAACTGTATTTCCACGTCAGAAAAGTCATCCTGAGGAACAAAAGGGGCGGAAAGTCACATTTGGTAAATTTCTCAGCCACATTTGAGGTATATTTCACTCTCATAGCTTCTCCTGACTGGATCATGTGATAAAATGTATTGAGGAGACGATCTTTGATAAGAATACCTACATAATATCTGTTTTTCTGCTGAGTTTTTAAGAAAAAATAAATAAAACAAGAAAATTAGCACAATATTTAGCGGAAACAAGCGGAAAAATTTGAAAGATTGCTAAGAAAATTGATGAAAAACTAGCTATCAGAACAAAAATTGCTGTTTTTTTTTAACGCTTTTGAGTTTCCTTCATCGTCCGCTACGATCGCTGATCGATTCCATTTCAATACTTCGGCTTAGCACTTTTTGTTCAGCTAAATTTTCTGCTTTTTTTTAGCTGTTTTGGCTCACTGGGTAATGTTTGGTCACTTTAAAATCCGTGAATTAACCCAAAAACCCTAAAATTGAACGCAAAATCTTCAATATTGTTCAATTTTCATCCTCATTACTGTCAATTGATGTACGAATACAAAGTCATTTCCATCTAACATTGATTCGTTTGGAGAACTCTTAATTTCCTCACCCTTTATCATGTTGACAATTTCATCGGCTTCACGGGAAAGGTCACCTCCAGGCCTAAACGGATTATCCCATCCGGATTCAGTGCTGTTGTGCGTGCAAAGAGACAGAAAAACACCTCAATTAGTACATTAATATCCGCCCAGTTGCGCTCTTCAACATGATTTTTCCATCTCACAAATTTGTCTGTTTAACTTTAATTAACTTCTTTCGGGGCGTTTTCCTCAGGTCTTGGATTTACCTCACGAGTGATTTCTTCTCACTCTGCGGCACTTCTATAACATAATAGAGAGCGCCTCCGTGTGTTGTTGCCATCTCGCGGGTTCGGATCTTGGGCTCTTGGCTTTAAGAGGCCGATTAAGTTGGTCTTTTCTCAGATGGCTGTTTATCTATTCAGGCATTTGTGGCTCTCACGTGATCATTAGTGCTAATTTTACATGATTTTCTCCTCTCGCAGGACTCTCAATGCGTCTTCTGCTGCGGGGGTGGAAGAAAGGGGTGGGTTTGAGCGTGTGAAGGTCATTGGGATCAAAGGCAATTTTCTTCTTCAAGCTCTGTGTGTGTGTGAGAAAAACACGCGTTTTGCAGTGATTTGTGCGCAAGTTTTGCTGATGAAAAATGGTCATCGAGGTGTGTTTGAGGTTGAATTTTGAAATTCATTTCCACACAACAAACTCTGGGCATTAAATCTCTTTCTCTCCCCCGAGAGAGAGAGAGAGACGAAATAATATAACGAATTGATAGGTCAAGGACTAAAACACACACACACATTTGCCACAGCGAGTCATCCAAAATGTCGAACAAAGAGAGTTTTGTCGCGATCAGCAAACCAGCTGATTATTGCGTCGGAGGCAGGAACAAAAAAATTACTCAATACAATTAAGTTCAATTGAGTCGAGAGAGTTATTTTGCGCGATATTGCGCGGAGTTGTGGTGCTGTTTTGGCCCAACAATTCACCATATTTTATATATAAACGAGTATTTGGCCAAATTGGAAAATCTAACAAATGGTTTCCATTGCTTTTTGCACCGCGTCTATTTTTGCTGGGGCTTTTTTGAAAAGCTTTCAAGGGGCTCAGCAGTGAATCAGCACTGCAATTTCAATGTGAGCTCAAGAGCTTTGTTTGCCACCAATGATGCGCCCCGCAAACATTCCACATTATATTTTGTTATATTCCCTCCCACTCTGGGTGTTTTTTGCTGAATGTTTGAATATAGGCAAAGGAGAAGGAGAAAAAATCAACATCATATTAAAACGTTGGAGTGTGTTTACAACGGCTATTTATAGAAATTGTACAATAATTCGAAAATACGCTGATTAAACAAATCTCTCGCCGAGAGAGACGAAAAGTCCGCGCGCGCGTTGGAAAAAGCTCAGAAAACCGGCAAAGATTTTTGCACACACACAAGAGTTATTTTTGAACAACAATCATGCGGATATTTTGCGTGGTTTTCCGCTATTAAAACCGGATATGGAGGAAAAAGGGCCGCATAATAAATATTTAGAGTCATTTGAGAACAAAGAACTTCTGCCCAAACCACGGAAACAGGACACAACTTTTTTCACTCGCACAGAGCTTTCTTGCAGAGCCACTGAAAAAGTCCTCACACTTTGATCACACTCTGAAGCTTCGACACAGCACACGATATTGATGACACTGCTTGGCTAAAAGTGTGATAAACTACTGAATGGGCGCACTTTTGGGTGGATGCAAATGAGTGGGGAAACTCTTGGAGGTTTTTCTTCGTGATGAAATGAGCGCCTTTCCAGTGTGCTTGGCGGCGCTGTGTGCGCTATTTTAAGGCCTCACTGTGTCACACTGAACTCGGAAAATGTGGCAAAAGACTCTCTTCTCTCGTGCTAGTCAATTTTCCCGATTTTCCCTCCATCTCTATCCAACCAACGGAATTTCCTCTGTCGAACAGTTCACGGGGGGGGGCGCGCGCTTTAAAGTGAAATAGATATTGCAAGCACTAAAAAGAGAGGAATGAGAGAGAGATAGTGGATGGAAAAGTGGGAAATTCCACAATTTTCCATCTATTCTCACACTCACATTTCACTGAGATTTTTCTTTTGGCATGTGCGACTAAAATGCCTCGCATTCCAACACGCGCGATTGTTGCACAAGTGAAAATTCGCGAAGAGCTTTTCTACTATTCTGTGGTACTTTTTGGCAGCAGGACACCTCCTCCATGTCCTTTCCCAAGGCCCCAATTTTCCAAGGAGGAAATCCCCAATTGACCGAGAGAGCCACGGTGAGAGCGAGAGAGAGAGGAAATGGTGCAGCCATGCGCAGTGGAGACGCCTGGTAGCAAAACTACAGCAATAAAAAAAATTCTGAGAGCTTTAAGTTTCTCTCTCTCTCTCATGGCAGAAATTAACTGGCTGCTGAAGAGTGCAGAGAGGCTTTATCATCTCGCGACTTTGCATTTGAGCGTGACACTAACATATTTACTGAAAAGAGGCGAGGGGAGGCGCAATTTAATGACAAGTGATATGAGGAAAATGTGGAGCAATTTTTATGTCATCTTTCACTCAATCTCTCCTCTTTGCCACAGGCAGATATCATCAGCCCGAGAGGGATTATTTGTGGTGGATTTCTTCCGCTCCTTTTGTGCTGCTGCTAATGAAAAAATCCTTGACATTCCGCACTTTTCCACAGAGAAGGCCAAATAAAGGGCGAAAGAGAGGTGGAATTGAAAGATATGAATAAAAGCTGTTGGATATGCTTTTGATTATGTTTATACAGAGGAAGTTAAGGGGTTGCTAATAGTGGAGATGCAGATACTTTTGACTCGAGTTTATTTCGTGGTTGTTGTTGAAAAATAAAACAGATATTTTCAGATATTTACAGAATAAAATGTCTTTTCTCAGTTTTCTTCCCTGAAATTCTGTTGAAAAATTCTTTCAACGCTCTAATATCTATTCTTAATTTTAAACAGAGCTTTTTAGAATGCTGAAGCATTCAAAATCCATATTAGCAACCCTTTTTGGAGGAGGTTTTAATGCTCAGCCCTTCAGAGGGTGTGACGAATAGAGCGTCCCTGGGAAGTAAAACTTCCTTGTTCAGAGCGTGGATTCAAATTAGCACAAGACATTCGACAACTCTTTTGCCAGGGACACCTTGTGTGGCACACGCTGTGTGGTTTTGGAATGACATGAGCCATTTGCTCTTGCACTCTTTTCACCTCACTCTGGGTGATTTTTTCGCCACCCACTCAGTAATTGCTTTTTGGCCGCGCTTTTTTCCCTCTTCGTCAAAGTGGAAATTTTCTCCTCTTGCTCGCGGTTTTTGTGGCGCATTAACAATTGCTGAATGCTTAAATTTATTTGTCATGTTTCCGCTAATAATTGTGACATTGTTGCCAGTGAAACAGGGAATGAGTGTGAGAGAGAGAAGTGCAATTTTTCAGCCCAGAGAGCTTGAGACTCTTCTTTAGCGTGGTCGTGTGAAAAGGCATGGCGAAGAAGATTGGGTGATTTTTTGGGTGGAAACTCAAAAATCATCGTTGCCGAAAATGTCTCGGTTGGATTGTGAGAGGAGGAGGAGAAAAATAGCATATATCGATTTGGTATTTTGTACTTTTTCTCCTCTTTTTTTTTTGCTCTATTTGTGACATGTAATTTTGTGGTAAATTTCTGTCATGCGCCGCCAATTTATCTTCCCTCGCTGTCTTCAATATCTTGCATCTGCACGTGATCTGGCAAGAACTCCATTTACAAATGTATGAGTTGATATTAATTATCGAAAAAAGATCTTTTTCTACACGTAGTTTATTCCCTTGCAACTCTTCATCCTAATCTCGTTCAAGAGGTGAACGGAAGACTCCTTTTTCTTCGTCCGCTGCCTTGTGAAGCGGAAAATTGGCGCACAACTGTTGATGACGGTGACCATAGAGATTCTATTAGCAAGTCCACTTTTATGGCGAATTCCACCCTTTCACCTCCAAAGGTCACCTTTGCTGATGCGATTCAGACACCATTCGATTGAGTGTGATACTCTGTTGCCATGAAATGGAGGCATAAAGTTTCCGTTGCAAGGAGACGAGCTTTTCTCATGTTCGCTCTGCAATTCTTGCACGTTTCATCCGCGAATCGTGGAAGGGTGTGCCAGGAAAGAGGCCCAAGGGGGAGATATCATGGTCAGAAGTGATGTACAGCTCAGTGGAAGTGTTTGGAAGTGGAAATGCTTGCACATTTCAAATATTTGTGCGTTCAAAAGTCACTTTCAAAGGAAATTAACACAATAATTGGAGAAAAAAACTGTTTTTCACATCTTTCTAGGTTATGTTGTGAATTTAAGACTAACTTTGCCACTAAATAACCTTCAAAATCATCAAGTTCTGCGCCTAGACTGGAACAATTTGCATTCACTTGTTGAGATTATAATGAAAACTGATGAAGATCACAAGCTTTCAGTTTAAAACTGTGTTAATTGTGCTAAAATTGATCATAACCTCTAAAATATTGACTGTTTTAAGAGCCGTTTGATTGATTTTCTACTCTAAAATAGCAAATTTCAGCTCATTGTCGATTTTCTTTGCCTTTTAAACGTTCCGAACGAGTTTCTTTCAAGAATTCTTTTTGATATCTCAACGTAATTTCTAGGTTATGTTTCAAAGTACATGCAAAAGAGCAAATCACATCGAAATATCCACTGGAAACTTCAAATATTTCTAAAATACTGTTTCTCTCTGAGTTTTCAGGATCATAAAAGTAAAAAAGGCGTCTTTTTTAGGGACAAAGACTCCTAAGTTTGAGGTTATGATACTTTGAGCATGTTTTGAGCACTGCTGATGTTCTAGAAGTAGTGTATAACTTTTAGTCTTATTATCTCCCCCTTGAAGAGGCCAAAAGAAAGGTGTTTCGCTATTTATCGTCTTCTCCAATGCTGTAAAGTGTGAAAATTCACAACATGTTCTTTCCAGGACGTTCTTTTCAAGCTTTAGGGTTGGAAAAAGTGGGCAAATGTGCTCTCAGAGTCGCTCAACTCTGACGATGACTTTCAGGAAAGGTTATACCCAAAGACATGAGGAATCGCCATTGTTTGCGCAAGTTTAAATCGCGTTCTTATGGCAACACGACAACAAAGAGGAGCTCACTGACCTATTTTGCCTGTCATAGGACGGTTGTGCCACGGCGGCTGTCATTTTGTCCTGTCCACCGGCGTCCAGAAGGCTGAAATCAGTCACAATGGAGTTGTTGTTGTCGCTGAAGAAGCACCCAATGTGATTCTCAGGAGGGCTCACTTGCTGTGGTTGACTGCACTGGAAAAACGACACTCGCACCTTGGACCGCTCGAGCCTGTTGGCGAAAAACAACAAACACACGGTGATCAATTAGCAAAATTGGAATCATCAATTAGATGGTGAGGAATGTGGGTCAAGTGCAAATTGCGTCAAATCGGAACACAAACGCAGAGTGAGAGAGAATCTCTGGCGTGAGTCGCTTAGAATGGATTTATTGCTACACACAAGATGAGGGAAAAATCAATCGTTTGGCGCCAAAATGTCCCGAAGGAACTTTTCTCGCTCGCGAGCGTTCATAATGAATTTTCTATGGGCAGCAATTTTCAATTTAAATGGGCGCGCGCGCCAAGTAATCAATTTTTCGCCCATTTTTCCCACCCAAGCACACCACCTTTATGTACTCACGCGCCGCGGGGTGGAGGAGACAGAGATGTTTTTCCAATTTCCTCGCTCTCCACTCACCCGTCGAGCATTTATTTAGGTTTTAATGATATATTGGAAAATAAACAGACTCGCACCCACTTCTAAAATAGAAAACTCACACCATGCGCCTGAAATGCGCCGCGAGATGAGTAGAGAAGACTTAATTTGCCTCCGAACGTGCTTCTTCACGTCGTCTTTCCACTCTCCTTCGCATTTCTTGCCCAATTGACCCCGCGGTGACATCAGAATGACGCCATCGAGGCAGTCTTGACCACGAAAATGCTGCCGCAGATGCGGAAAGTCGAGTAGACGGGCAGAAGGTACACCACAAGTGCCTTTTTTGAGTTAGAAACTTGAAGTTTTTAGACTGTTTCCACATGAATTCCCAAATTATAATGAATTTCTCAAGTTTCCATCCGATATTTCTGCAAGAATCTATTTAAAAACGCCCTTTTGGACCTCTTTTCCGAACATAACCTCACAATATAACCAAGAAATCTTCAAAAACTCACTATTGAAGGTTTATAGATAAGTAAAATCATTTCATTGGTGCTGATTCAGAGTCAAAATCATGCAAAAATGATCTGAAATAATATTTTTTCGTCCATAACCTCAAAATATTACTAAGAGAACTTCAAAAACTCAATTCTGAAGCATTCTAGATTACAAAATAATCTGATTATGATCTGTCAATGAACTCAGAACTGAGGATTCAGAGACAAAATTGTCCAAAAAGTTTTCTAAATGAACATTTTCCAAGGTCAAATGACTATTTTTGAGGTTATGTTCGAATTCAATACGATTTACAGTGTTTCGTGGCGTCAAATGGTCTTAATTCAGCCAATAACTGTCGATATCTTGGACTTGAGCATAAGAATTGATGTACTAGAATGCGAATTATTCACAAAATCTATCTGTGATTCGAAACATAACCTAGAAAAGCATTATTTCGATTGTTTTTGTGTGAAAATCAAAAGCAATCTGAAGGATTAAGATAAGTTTGGTAGTAAAAGAAGTGCGTAGGAAAGGAATATTGTACGATTTTGAACACTTCCACTTCTTAAGTACTTCTGCTGAGATGTACACCACTTCTGACTGTACTATCTCCCCCTTGATATTGCTAAACTTACACAACAAGAGACTCTATTTGCCTCTCAAAAGAAATAAAAACTCTCAATAGCACGAAACAACAAGTTTTTCATATACTTATTCATTCAAATGTACATTGCTGAATGTAAACATCTTCCCCTTGAACGAATTTCTGTAACATCGCGCGATCGACGAGTGCATTTGTGATTTAAAATGTTGATGGTACAAATTGTTGGTCTTTTGAGAGATAAATTTGTGTCTATAAAATTTATATTTTCATGAGGGGCCATATGGTTCATCGTGAAAACAAATATTCTCAAGTCTCGAGTAATTTATTGGTGTGTTTCTCTGTTTTCACTCTGTGATTTTTGCATTTATCTGCAAACACTAAAGATAAACACTCGCAAAATGCAACACGTTTGTTTTGGCTTCTGAAAAGCATGACTTAATCAGTGGCAAATGCAGGCTTTTCAATGACATTGTTTTCATGCTAAAAATCCTTGACTTCCAAAGTCTCACAAGCGGTGAAAATTAGATGATTTTCCATACAATCACTTATGCTAAAGACTTCCACCACGCAAAATTGGCGTCTTTCTATGCAAAAAAGAGACTTTCCTCGTGCTCTTAGATAAGTGATTGTATCATGTTTATTTATAAAATCTCCCCAAGTGACTCAATTTGCTGATATTATATGGTGTATCTTGGGCTCTTATATTTGCACACAACCGTGTGTATTTTATTAAATATGCAAATATCGAGTGATTTTGCCGACTCGGAGAAAGGTCACGGTGGGAATACATGTGAAGATAAAGACCTCCGCAGGAGAGACGGATTGAATAAAGCATGAATATTACGAGATTTGCCTCCTAAAATGGAGATTCGCTCTGCACTTTCATCCAAGGGGCAGATATTATGGTCAGAAGAGGTGTATAAATTCATGGAATTGGTCAAATGTTTAGAATATTTGCATTGCAAAAGATTGTTTCAACCAACAAAACTGTTTTCTCAATTATTTTGCTTAGAAAAATCAATTTTATTCTGCTTTTTTTAGGTTATGAGGTTAATTTGAAACCTTTAAAGCAGATTCTGAGTATTCAAATAACCCTCAAAATCATGAAAATTGTGGTTTAAACTAGGAATATTTCTCTTTTTCTAGCCACAGTTGAGCGCTTGTGTTCTAAAAACTTCAGTTTGGTTAAATTTTGGTAGTAAAAAACAGCTTTAAAGTCAAACATAACCTCAAAAATGTCCTTTTAGCCTCAAATTATGTCTCTCTGCTTAGAATTCAGTAGAAACATTGTGATATTCTGCAAATTTACTCCTATTCAGGTTAGAAAGGATTGAAATCAGTTTCATAACCTCAAAATTTGGTCCGAATTACGCATTATTCGAAGATAAAAACTAGGAAAACAAGACAGAAATTGTTCATGAACAAATAGTGAGATATTTATTACTTTTCTAGATTATGGGATTATTTTAAAACCTTTAAAACAGATTCCGAGTATTAAAAAGAACCTTAGAAATTATCAAAACTATGTTTAAACTAGAAATATTTCTCTTTTTCATAACATAACCTCAAAAATGTCATTTCAGTCTAGACTAGTGTTTAGTTTCTTAGTTATTTCCGATGTTTATTCTTTAGTATTCAGTAGAAACATTGTGAAATTCCCTAAATTTACTCATTTTCAGGTTAGAAAGGATGTAAATTAGTTTCATAACCTCACAAATTGATCAAAATCAGGCATTTTTCAAAGACAAAACTAGGAAATCAAGACAGAAATTGTTCATGAACAAATCGTGAGGTATTAAAATCAGTAAAAACCTGTGTGAATTGTCAGGAATTTGTGTAGAGATTTAAGGCATATTATCTCCCCCTTTGATTTTATACCCAAAATCGAAGAGCGGAAGAGAAGAATTCTACTAATCTTCCTGGGATTGCACTGAAAGTCTAACTCTCTCTCTGCATAATTCCACGACAACAGTAATCGCTCCGATTAATCCAGATAATTTTTTAATCAATCTCCAATTGCATCTTCTCCATGTCTTTCACTCGGCGGCGAAACAATTTGATTTTCAATCCAACGGCAAAGTGCAGAGGAAAAGTGGCCGAGAGACGCGCAACAGATTGAATTACCATCTCTTTTATCCCCATGGCGCAGATGAAATTAATTGGTTTTGTTCCTTATTTACTAGGATGTGGAGAGAATATATGGGGCACGCCTGTTAAAATTTACTGCTCCATCATTTGTAATCTCTAAATTGACGCTTTAATTTCGCTTCTCAATTCATTCTTGTTTAGAACACACCAACATTCATCGTTTGCCAGCCACTCAAGAGTGTTGTTTGCGTCAGCAATTTTGTGGGCCTCTCTTTCTCCTCACAATTTTCCAATCCATCTTCTGCACTCGTCTTAAGCAGTGCGAAAGTTCTATTTCTTGAGTGGCTTTTCTTCAAGTGTGTTTACAACTTCGATGGCTTGGAATTTTTCGTATTCATGACGCGCAGACAGTTTTCCGGGGGAATTTCTTTTTCAGGCACGATTTGCCCGGAAAATTGTGTGACGAATTGATGAAAGTTCATATTGGATGAGACAGAATTGTCCATCAATGTCACTTGTACTCTGAATTGATCCCAGTCTTATCACTTATTCATTAATTTATACCCTTTATTTGGCACTTCAGTGCTCTTAAGGGAAACTCAAGGGGGAGATATTGCAGTCAGAAGTACTTGAGAAGTGGAAGTGTTCTAAAGCTTACAATTCTCCTTCCCGGAGACCTTATTTCCCTCACAAATTATTTAAATTCTTTAAATATCCTTCGATTTTCACGCATAATCAATTATAAAAATCTTTTTTTTAGGTTATGTAACGAATCAAGGACTGATTTAATGAAACATTTCGCACTCTAGCACATCAATTCTTATGCTCAAGTCCGAGAATTAGGCATTTGCATGTAATAAACATGGTTTTTCTGAACCTTCGACGCCGAAAAACACTTGAAATTGTGTTCATGTCGAACATAACCTCAAAAAAAAGGACATTTGGACCTAAAAAACGTTCAATTAGATCACTTTTTGGGCAATTTTGACTCTGAACCAGCAGTTTTGTGTTCATTAGCAAATCATCGGAGATGATTTGTGATCTTTTGAAGATCTCTTAATTGTATTTTTGAGGTTATGTTCGGAAAAGTTACCCAAAAAGCGGTTTAAAGTCGATTCTTGCAGAAATATCGGATAGAAACCTATCGAAACAGTCTAAAAATTTCAATTTCTAGAAGTATCAAGCGATGTACAGATTTATGGCATATTATCTCCCCCTTGGGGAAACTAAGCCATCAAGAAAGGCACGAAAACACTGAGAAAACTCTCGTAAAAATTGCTCTCGATGCTCTTTATTGTTTATAAAACCACTCGCAAGAGTATTTGTGCAATCGAATAATCAGTGATTATATAAATTTAGCACAATTTACACCATAAATCATTTGTTATTCAAATATTCATGTGAGAGTCTTCTCTCGTAAATTTTTCATATTGCATCAGAGCGAT